GTTTTTGTGTGCATTTGATACGCACTTTATTGCGTGTAATACACATGCACCCCACACCACTAATCCTACCCAACGTATAATACACACGCACCCGACACCAGCACTAAACCTACCCATGCGAATCATATGCACTTAAAAACTCATATTCGCATATAAATTGCACAATAAACACAATGTGTGCTATAGAGGTGCATTTAGTGTGATCGGGTTGTCGTTGCAGATAACACACTGGCTTTGCATTTACAAAACTAGGAATGCATAGTTGTCTTTTCATTATTCTTTGTACGGCTATTTTCGCTGTCAACTTTCCTCTTTAGACTCTTTGATAGTGCCATTTTCTCTCACCTGCTAGCTTAAATGTTAACATCACTCTACACACCCTAACATAATAGCTTACCTCCAACCTGGAAACAATAAAAAAATGCAGTTTAGTATGTGAGGGTGCCAACGAATAATTCTAAGTTTAAAAGTAGTCTATGTCAAATAATCATTACAATAACTTAGACTCCATTGTGTAACAAGCAAATTAAAATAATACATATTTATTATTCACAATATGGAAAGAGCAAATAATATATAGTTCGTTAAGAGTATGACTCAAAAATGCCATTTAAGGGCTTATTCAAGTCCTCTTATTTTTTTAGTTATTTTTATCCATTCCGCATATCCCACGTGTATGTTTCAGCAAGGCGGGCATGTGTTGCAAGATGCCGCAATATATCGGTAGACATGGAGTGGGCCAGACTTGATTTTGACCATTTTTTGATTTTGACCACAGTTTTATTGGTACAGCTTCCTTTTACAGTACAGTACTTACAGTGTACTTACAGTGTACTTACCTAGAAAGTACTGGCTAATATAAGGTAAGTACATGGGTTAGGGGTAGGTTTAGAGGTAGGTTCAGGATTAGTACCTAGTTATTACACAGTAATTGTAATTACTACAATAAATGCATAGTATGTACATGGGTAACAGGACTGTAAAAGGAAGTGTTACTGTTTTGTTTTGTAGAAAGCCTTTCTAAATATTGAATTTTGTTTTGTATCATTTGTATCTTATTTTTAATCAATGCTTTATCAACCAGTTGCCAGGATTTAATAAATAAGAAGCAAATTTAGCAGACAATATAATCAGGACATGGAGGCGCCGGCGCTGTTGCATTGCTCGTGAACTGGAGCTCATCTCATAAATGAACTGAAACTCAGCGTTTAAGCTGCCTCACAGACTTATAAAATATATAGGAATCTTAAAAACGTCTCATTTTAAACAAAACGATTCAAAACGAAAAGAAACCGACTGCTCTCTGCTTTTGTAATCCATGTGAAATGTGCATTTTTCTCTATAGGCGCATTAACTACTGCGGTCACTATTGCAGCCGACACCGACACTAATAAATAATTAAAATGTCTCCTTGCTATATTTGAAACATTCATAATCATTACTTTTGCCGGTTCCTAGTGACAGCTTTTGCTTTATTGGCAGCATCACCCTCTGGTTACATGCACACGGTGTCACCACCGAATCAGCACCGAAAACATCAGGATTTTTTTTAGATAATCGCATAACCTTTTCGATATTCTATATTTAAATCAACAAATCCAATATTCAGGATTTAACACAGAGTAAATGCTCACAACCAGTTACAAAAGACACTGTAACAGTCTGTCACAGGCAATTCTAGTTGCATTTTTAATCAATTAATTTCTTAAATTATCCATTGACTATGTTCTGGCCCGTCATCTAGTGTCAAATATATTTTTTAGCCCGATGCCATCCTTACTTGCCGACCCCTGAACTAGACTCTCATCGAAGGCCTCATTATACATTATACTATTATACAAGAACTGAACTAGGCTGGACGATGACATCACGATTTACTCCAGAGCGGCTAAATTAATAACTTAATAACAACTAAATAACTTTTTTTTTTTTTTTCCCAAAATTAAACATCACTGAACTTAAGCTGTACAGTGATGATATTTTCTTCGGGAAACCAACTTTTTTTTGCATTATTTTCCTGTTATCTATGTAAAGCTTCTTTGAAACAGTCTGTATTGTAAAAAGTGCTATATAAATAAATGTGGCTTGGCTTGACTTGACCACTGTTTCACCTGAGCTTGATGATTAGTTAAGTGTTTATGTTTTTCTTTTTCTTTTTTAAATGTGTCACTTTGCTTTTCAGTGGCATTGCATATTTTGTATTTTTTACATTAAGGGGACAAAAGTTCTAATATGATTGATCTTTGTTCAAATGAAACACAATGAAACAACAGGAATTCAAAGATTACCTTACTCCTTTAGCAGCATCTTATAAAGCAAAACATTTAACGGACAAAAACACATCTTTATAAAAGCCAATTATTGAAAACAGCGCATGTGGAAAATAGAAACTCATGACAGAGGTCACTACCATTCTGTTGGGTTCACTCTGAGCCAGTGCAGAAAAAAGGCTGGATTACCTACAAAAGTTTGCATTGGAGACTTTAAAGGGCACCTATTATGGAAAATTCACTTTTACATGGTGTTTGAACATAAATGTGTGTTGGCAGTGTGTGAGCAAAACCACCCTAGAATGATAAAAATCCACCCAGTGGTTTTTTTACAATCTCAATAAATCATATGCACTGTGTCAGAACGAGCTGTTCTAAGATCCAGCTTTTTGTGACGTAGAATTGAGCAAGGGGTTTGATTGACAGTGTGGTTGTGGCATAGACCCCGCCCTCGGTGATCTGTACACATCATCCTCCATTGTTTCAACGACAGCCGGTAATGTCTCTTGGAAACGTAAACGTTCTGTCGTAGGTTAATCCTGTTGTTGGATCGTCATCTACTGTTTGCGATCCACCGTCACCTCCAGTAACAGTAAGTGTATTTTATGATTTTTGAGCAAATAGTCTTTTCAGTCAATGTCAGCCAATTCAACAACAAATGCGTCTAAAGTTGTTGTCGTCGTAGGATGTCTGTGTAGGCTATATAATTTAAACCTTGTTTGTATAGTGTGTAACCACACGTTTATAAATATATATATATATATTTTTAAAGATATTGTATTAAAAACTGCATATATGTTGTTGTTCTGTAAGTTAGCCATCTTCTCACATTTGCCACAGAAGCACCTGTATGACAAGTAAACATGACGCAACAGGTCCCTCGCATAAATGTAATTTCGCTTGTACGTACGTAGCAAACTTTATCACAGAATGTGTATGTAGTTACAAAATATTGCGCCAGCTTCAGTGTTTGTGTGTGTCTATGTGTGTGTGTGTGTGTGTGTTGCACATCCGGACGCGATTACAACTCTAAAGTACATAAATGTATCAAATAACCATACCGAGACGTACTGGTCCATTCTCATTTATGTTTATTCTGCCGGAGTCTCTTCATACTATTTATTAGGGGTGGCACGGTTCACAAAACCCACGGTTCGGTTTGTATCACGGTTTTAGGGTCACGGTTTTCGGTTCTGTACGGTTCTTGTTATTTTTTCTTTTAATCTTTAACACTCCAGAAATGTACTTCAGCATGTGATATATAGCTTAATTATCCACACTTTAGGATACAGTATTAAAAAATATATATATTATATTCATGCAATCATGCACAAACTGAATTTGACTCTTTGACTTTAAGCCCATTTTGGGACTATCTCAGAGGAAAGCTAGGTGAGATTTAGATACAGCAAGAGAGAAGAAATTGACATGCTTTTTGTTTATTTGGCAAAAAAAGGAGAATGTGTATCACTATCTCTACAAGAACTTGTGCATTTTTATCACATAAATCTTATTTACACAAAGAAATTAACTTTCATGTATCAACTGCTAACTTTTGTAGCTCTTACCAAAATTCTATCTTTTAAAAGAAAAAGAGAGGAACTCTTAAAACACTGTCTTTTAAATGTCAATATACATGAAACCTCATTGCCTATAGATAATTAAGCTATAGCAATAGCAACGGCCATAAACATAAAGTGAAATTGAAATTCAACCTCAACACAAAAACAGTATCAACAATGCTTCTATTCCCAAAATGTGAGGGTACTTTTTTCCACTTAAAATTAAAGTGCAGGGTTTGGAAACGTATGACTGAAGCTCTTATCTATACATAAAGTGCCACTGTAGTTAAATTAAAATATCATAACATGAAATCCAAAATGTTCCCACACACCGGACTTATACCATAGACTTATACGACGCTGGCGCATCCTCCAACTCCCTCATCTCTCCCACTTGCCATTTCTCCGCGTGCCGTGACCTGCAGCGCTCCATACTCCACTTTTACTGGCTTGTTTATTAACTTGAACCGGCGCTGCACAGAGCGATCGGTAATGACATCAAATACCGCGAAAGTGATGAATGCATACGGAGCCGACTCGCGCTAGATTGATGTTATTCACCTATCGCTCTGTGCAGCGCCGGTCCAAGTCGAACAAGTTTATGTCGCGCGAAAAGAAAACACACGTCACATACGGGCACGAGGTTACATTGCGCATGCGTCGAACCGTGAGACGCACACCCGCTCCGAACCGAGACAAGCGAACCGAACGGTTCGGGTGTTTTTTCATGTACCGTGCCACCCCTACTATTTATATATTCCGATTTAAACGTATGCTGAATGACATTCAAAACAGCGGTTTCTCTCACTCTCTTAGCTCTTCTGCTTACCGACTGCCATAGGTATCAAGTTACGCCCTCATCCAATATGCAGCTCATTTGCATTTAAGGTGGTATAGTCCCCGAAACAGCTAATTTTTAAGCAGGCCCGAAAATGACATTTTCAAATGGTTATAATAAATTAACTGTGGGGTATTTTGAGCTGAAACTTCACAAATACATTCTGGGGACACCCGAGACCAATATTACATCTTGTAAAAAGGGGCATAATAGGTGCCCTTTGAGCAGTTCAACCTGAATTAATTGTAGAAAATTGTGAAGATCAACATACACTGGACAAATAAGTATATGACAGATTCATTAAAACACTATGGGGGAAACAAATCTTACCATTTCAAGATCTACAACCCGGTCCTGAAAAAAAGAAAAAGAGAAACAGAAATGACTGACTGGACACAGGAAGTTTTATTTCAGAGATTGGGAAAATCTAAGGCCAAGTCTAATTACTGGCTCTGTGTCCTATTGTCTGCCAGCATGCTTCTGGTTTCTTCTAAGCCCCATTAAGGGGATTGATTCATAATGGACGTAGGATAGCAGGTGTTCCAGATCCCAGTGGGTTTGGTTTGAAAGCATGCAGACAAGCAAGGGTAAGATGGTGTTATTACATGCAACTGACGTGCATGCAGGATTACATAAGGTTGTAACCTACACACTACAGAGGAGATTGTGTGTGTGTGTGTGTTCTTGGTAAACACAAGGATGTCAGTAAAGATGTCAATAAAAATCTTTGTCCTGGTGGGGAAATGTTTTGGTCCCCATGAGTAAAACAGCTTGTAAATGCAGAAAGTTAACTGTGAGGGTTGTTTTTAGGGGTAGGGTTAGGGGAAAGATTATACAGTTTGTACAGTAAAAAAAAAAAATCATTATGTCTATGGAAAGTCCACATAAAACATGGAAACACACACACATGTGCATTTATATCTAAGAGTGCAACATAAAAACTCCTTTACACTGACCTGAAGATTTCTCATCTCTTCTTCTTTTTTGCGGCCATTTTCAAGAAGACCTGGAAGACCATATTAATGAGCATTGATATTGAAAAAGAGTCATCAAATGAATCATTCACTCACACCCCAAACGTATGTGACTTTTTCTTCCATGGAACACAGGATTTTTTTTTTTTTAATAATATTTACATTAAAAAGTGAAAAAGAAAAAAAAAATTCAATAAAAAAATACTAAATATTAATTTACTTGAATTTACTATTAAGACTTATATTAAGAATTAATATTGTATCACTGTTTAATTGTCCTGTTCATACGGCTGACTGCAGTGGACGTTTGCGGTTTCGGTGTTGAAGTATTGGACATGCGTGTTGTAGGGGCTTTTAAATTATACTAACACGCTATTAGTTCGGTCCATCGAAGCAGCCTGAACGATCTTAAATATTAGTTGTGATCATATATTGTCATTTTGATTGTCTATGTAATCATTTTTCCCCCCCTTTCTTTGGTAGTTTATGTATTTGCCAGTGTATATCCACATGTGACTTATTTGAAGGGTAATACTGAGGCTTAGCAGAAGAGGGAAGTGTATTTGTTTTCTTTTGGTATTGTTTCTTTATTTGGTTTAACACTTGCTTTAAGAACCTTTACTCACTAATTTGCTCTGTGGTTTGTCCCTTCTGTTTAAGTCTCTTATCAGCTGTGGGTATTTAATTGGTAAACTGTGTACAATATCTTTTTTAGGACGTTTTAAAATTCATGTTTCCTGTGTGAAATAAACTTTTGTATTCTTTTGGAAAGTCACGTCTCTGTCTTTGACGCAATCCGAAGCAGCAGGGTCCATCTCATTGTTATTTTTATTTTGGGTTTAATTCCTTTTTCGGTTATTTTGATTATTTTTATACTTTCCTGGGTGAAGTAGTATAGTCAGGTCTGAATTTCCAAGATTGTGTAACCCATAGCTGTCAACATTGAACATTGAAAATAAGGGAGTTTTCCCGGAATACATCCCCAAAATAAGGGATTTTTTTTTTTTTTTTGCACGATTCTTACCCACAAACTTTAAAAATAAAGCACTAATCCTTAAAAGTCTAAAGAGTTCATAACTAACGTAAGCCTATGTGTGAGAGAGAAAGAGACAGTGTAATTTAAAGAAAAAAAAATCTACATTTGGATTAGCAGTGTGTTGCTCTTGCATTTGGACAACAATTTCTACTGTTTGCCTATCACACATCTTCTAAAATCCGCAAAATAGGGAAGTGGGCTGTCTGTTTACTTCAATTACATTTACACATTTTGTGTAGCTTTAAAGAGCCTATTTAGCCTGATGGTGGACCATCACTCAGAAGACACACTATCCTATCTTTATATCCTCCTGAGGCCCAGAACGTGTTTTTTTTTCTAGTTTTTTTTTTTCTTCTTCATGTAATCACATTGTTAAGAGCATAAGAAACAAATGGAAAAAAATAAAATATATTTTATTCATATATTTGAAAATCGATTTATGATAATTATTATTTGTTTAAATTACATTGATATCTGAATTTATGTAAAAACCTAGACTTTCAAACATCAAAATGTAATTTATTAATATGTATTCGAGTACAAAATGACATACAGCTAGTCTAAACATAGTTTCCTATTTTTTATTTATTTTTTTGCCTGGAAACGCAAAGAAATTCCAGGCAAAAAACACGCTTGCCTGTCGCGTGAAAAATAGGCGTCAGTTCTATTTCTAGCATGCACGCGTTTTCTGGAGACGCGCGTGTCACGCAGGCAGCGTGCAAGCTCTAATCTAATGGGAGCCGAAATAAAAACGGACACGCCACGCAGCCAGTGTGTCTCCGCCCAGTGCGCGCGGCACCGCATCCGAGGTTAAACGACTTCAAGCCGAATCTGTCCGAGCTCGTACGTCTCACACAAAAATACGGGATATTTTACGGGAAAATACTAAAACGGGAAGACAGCGGGAAAAGAGCTAAAATACGTGAGAAACCCGGAAAAAACGGGAGGGTTGACAGCTATGGTGTAACCCTGTAGGCATTTTTGAGGAAAAGTTGTTATACCACATTTTTAGAAAGTTCAATGTGTCCTGAATAAGGATCCAACATATAACATTGAAATAAGGGTCCCTTTTTCTTGTAATTGTTATCGAAACAATAGGTGCATTATTCACAGCCAAAACACTACAGGTGGATAGGGTAAAATTTTAAGTTATAGATATAACCATAAAACTTTTCCAGTTTTTCAGTTATATAGAGACAAACATTTTTTGTATTACAAGTTTTCTGAAATGAAATTTTTACATATGCAAATGAGGCATTATCTATTTAAATATGTGCTAATTTGCATAATCTAAACTCTTATATCAGAATTGAAATCCACAGACTCGAATAGACAAAGCACAGTGAAATTATTGGGTTGAAGGCAACCTTCTAGGCCCCAAAACTACAGAGCAAGTTATGGCAGGGAAGTCATACAACAAAAGAATTGGAGCCCACAAAATCACTCTGCAGGCCATGTGGAGGATTCTGTTGTTAACAAGCAGAATCACTGAAGGAGAAAACCGGAATTTAAAGTCACCATTATGGAGATGAGTGTTTGTTTTAGTTGGGCTCTTGACCCCCACATTATTAACTTTATATTTTGTCTGACTGCTGTATCTGAGCTATAATCAGCCAGATAATCAACTAGAAAATGTGATCTGTGGATGTTTGATGTGTATTAAGATCACGTCTGAACATAAGCTCATTATTTATTCATGCAGCAATACATGATGGGATTCATGAATGAGTTTTGATAGGTGGCACCTAGAATACACAGCAACATGCTTTATAATAGTCACCACTGTTGAGATTCACAGGCTGATTCTTGATGTCCGTGTGTGCCTACATAAATTAATTTCTTTTTTTTAGAAATTTCTTTTTTATTGATTTGATCATTTGGATTCCTTTGAAATGGCTAAAATGCACTACTACAGCAGTGCTGCTATAATCCATAAGGTAAACTTAACAGTGGCAGTGGCTCATGTAGGTTGTCTACAAACCGGAAGGTTCGTGGTTCAATCCCCAGTTCCACCTGACCAAGTGTCGAGGTGTCATGTTTTAACATATAATGATTATGTTAAAACACATCCAACATCATCAGATCATCTTTTCTATGTGATCATCTGACTGTTACACCTGACATATAGCCAAACATAATCTAAAGTTAATAATGTGGGGGTCAAGAGCCCAACAAAAACAAACACTCATCTCCATAATGGTGACCTGAAATTCCGTTTTTCTCCTTCAGTGATTCTGCTTGTTATCATCAGGTGTCTTCAATAATGCTCAATCATCACTCAATTATTCACTTAATTGTCTCATTAACTTTAACACTGCTCCAGTGTTAATTTAACACTTAGCTCAGAGTTTAATTGGATGGTTTAAAATGACTTCCATGATGTTGAAGATACATGAACAAATTATGTTTGTTTAACGAAACGCAGTTACATGTGGAACCGGTGGAACCCGTTTACTACGGTTCACAAAATTCACGGTTCGGTTCAATACGGTACACTTGTGTCACGGTTCGGTTCGGTACGTTTCCGATACAGCAAAAAGAAAGAAATGCCAGAGAAATTTCCTTGAATAAATTTTTTTCATTATATTTTTCATAAAGTATGATATTTTTTTTACTTTGAGCAATGATGAAGCTACACTTGACTTTTCTTGGGAGCATATAAAACAAAACGGCTCCTTGGACAAAATGAAATGTAATATTGTAGTAGTTATAAACAAAGGTTTATTCTAGTTCAGATTAACATTTGAGGGCAATTGTATTCATAATGTCAAAAATAAAATGTTGGGCAATGTTGTGGTCACGCCAGCGTCTCTTACATCATGAGCGCACTTGCCATGCGCGACGCACCTACATTTGAATAACGGAATTTTGGTCGGCAGGAAAAATGTTCCAATGAACAGTTCGGTTTAAAAACGTGTACCGAAAACCGAACCAAAAGCCAAAAGTTACACCCCTACTGTTTAGGCTACAAAAAGGTAATTAAAGCCAACACATAATTTTTTTTTGAGTGCATTAAGCGCTCTCACTTGGCTTTGGTCTGGCGGCAGGCCCACTTGCAGCAGTCAGTTCTGCCACCACCTGAAACCATGGGATGGAAGACAGAGGGGAATTCCGTTACTCCTCAACTCATGTCACTACCCCTAGTTCCAGATGCCTGTGAGGAGTTAATCACCAGTGCCTGCACCACTGGGTGCAAGACAGCCCGCTGCGGCTGCAAGCCTAATCCATGCACTGCATCCTGCAAATGCAGAAAGTCCAATGATACTTGTATGAACACATAACTTTTGGAATATCTGTGATCATACTATTGTTGCTTGATTTTGTTGAAATTTCAGAGTTCCAGCAGCCATTTAAACATTAAAAACCATCCTTTTCAAGTTAATGTTGTTTTTTCATTGTTTATATGTTTAAATATTCTGGGAATGCACAGTTTAGTTCTAATGTTTAATGTTTAAACTGCAATAAATGCATTAAAACGTTTTTTTTTTTTTGGCAGCCAATTTGTTTTTATTGTTTATGCCAAAACAGAGATGTTTACAACTTGTTATACGGCAGAAATGGATTCAAAGTACTTCTCCTCAAAAAAGCCTACTATCCATGGCTATTTATCTATTTTGGGACTTGACTAGTAACCTAGGTGTACCAAGTAACCTAGTAACCTAGGTAATTTAATATTTAGCCAAACACACAAAAGAGTGATTATTAGTGTAACACACTTGATTTAAAAAAAAATTAAATAAACTGTGCTAGTATCGGATCGGTATCCGAAAAAAAAAAATGGTATCGGTGCATCCCTACTTTATAGAATAAATGAGAGGCTAGTAATTTACATGTTAAACCACTTTGTACACTTTTGCTCAACTTATGGAAATACTTCCAAAATAGTTCCAGTGATACAGTCGGCCCATTTTCCTCTGACCTCTAGCATCAACAAGGCATTTTCGCCCACAGGACTGCTGCGTATTGGATGTTTTTCCCTTTTCACACCATTCTTTGTAAACCCTAGAAATGGTTGTGTGTGAAAACTCCAGTAAGTGAGCAGATTGTGAAATACTCAGACCGGCCCGTCTGGCATTAACAACCATGCCATGCTCAAATTGCTTAAATCGCCTTTCTTTCCCATTCTGACATTCAGTTTGGAGTTCAGGAGTTTGTCTTGACCAGGACCACACCCCTAAATGCATTAAGCAACTGCCATGTGATTGGTTGATTAGATAATTGTAATAATAGGAAATTGAACAGGTGTTCCTAATAATCGTTTAGGTATGTGTGTGTGTGTGTGTGTGTGTGTGTATATATATATATATATATATATATATATAATTTAGAATTTATTGACAGGATAGCCCCTTGAGATGTAACATCTCATTTTCAAGTGGATCCTCAAATATATATATATATATATATATTAGGGGTGGAGCCGAATCCGAATACGGTATTCGGAAAGGTACAAATAATGTGTTTTTTACGAATACTTATTCCGAACAAATACTTAAAAAAATATTTGTATTCGGGAACAAGAAATACTTTATATCAAAAAGCTGCGTTCCTCACGAGACGCGAGTTGAGTGACTTGAGTCAGTGCGCGAGTTGAGTGAGTGACGTTCAGGAAGAGGTGACTGACACAGGCTGCTCCACACAGCAACAGAGAGGGCTCGGCTGAGCGAAAAAAAAAAAAAACACTTAACTGCATCACTATTTTTGTTTAATAGATGTTTGTACCTTAACTATGTTCCGGTGGCAGTTTATAACTTTTGGGAAGCGGAGTTTGATCGGGAGTATATTCCATTATTGACGTCTGCAGACGGGTGCTTTCATGTTCGCTCTGTTTACGTAGCTCTGTTAGCTCGGTAACGGTAATTATTTGTTTCATGGCTTGATTGAATTCCAATGTAGAATGCGGTCTGTTATTATAGCAGGCCGCTGCTTATAAGTATAACACACCGTTGCTATGAAAAACAGAGCGTTGCCATGGATTCTAAACGTAGAGACAGAACGGACTATTTTTCTTTTTTTAGCGGGAGCGATACAATCGTTTTTTAAATCAATAAACTCCTTTTTATATCCATATTTTGAGTCAAATTATTGATTTATTTGGTAGGTAGCCATGTAATAAGCGGGGTAATGTAGAGCGAGGCGTAGTTATAGCGAAAACCCTTCAGGCTTCGCGTCGGGCTCATAATCAACCTCCTCACTATAAATTATCCATATAACTTATTCTGTCTGCACAGCGTCCTCCACCGTGGTGTTGGGGTTCATAATGTTCACAATTGTATTTTATTAGTTGTTGGTTTAACCATGGTTCATGAGGTAATGGCTGACTGTTATTTTCTTTTCAACTTTTCTTGTTACATGTTCATTGCTGGATTTATAGAAAAAATCAACCAATATTGCATATCCATAATTATTATAATGGATATAATTAAAGAATCCATACACTATAAAGTAGGCCTATTTTTAAAGATTTTTATGCCTATTTTGAATTTTACTCGAATACAAATACAAATACAAATACTTTTCCTCCCTGAACAAATACAAATACAAATACAAATAGCGGCTGCTTTGCACACCCCTAATATATATATATACACACACACACAACATATGTTTTAACACAATTTTTCTTAAAACAAATTTACACAGACATGTTGTTCAGATGTGAAGATATAAACTAAAACATATAAAATATATAATTCATTTATTTTTTATTTAAAATTAATTGAATTGTAAGGATAAATTGATAAAATAATTATAGAAAGAATGAAAACAAGATTGTGAACGTAGAGCCGCAGTAGATCGTGTTTGAAAAACAATTACAACTTAATAGTAGTCAAATGCTATAAAAAGAGAAGGAATGGAGGTACGCAGCAAGCTAACAGGCTTGATTAAAAGGACAAATGATGCATTAGTGCACAAGCATTCGCTGAAAACCACTGAGTACAGTGACTAAGAAACAATCTTTTACTGTTGCTGTTATTAACTGTCTTTATATTTATTGCTTCACTTTGTAAGCACTGGTTTAATTTAACGTATTTCTGCAGTAGCGCTACTTTAATCCATCACTTATGTTCTGAGCGAACTGATTGCGCAACCTGATGCTCGAGACAAAATACAGACCACCCAAGTGTCCCAGAAGTTCTGGGAGTCACCCGCATATTGATAGCGGCTCCCTGATGCCCGCAAATTAGTTCAAACTTCCGGAATCTAGAGCGCGCATGCGAGACAGAAGAGACTGAGCTCCAAACCGTGTAGTACGGACCGAGGGAGAGAGACCTTGCGTGTGTGCCTCATGAAGCGCATGTAAGACAGAGAGCATCATGATTGGCCTGTTTCAACCAATCACCAGTAAACGTTCGATAATGACATTCGTTGACAACGATTTTCATAATCGATTATTATCACTTTTATCAATTAGTTGTTGCAGCCCTATTCAGAATTGAGATCTCTTTCGTGTCTTTCTTTCAAATCAAATTAAACTTTGATTCGAACGGATCAAGTTTCAACTACGATCACTATACTCGCTATTGCACATCCTGCGATGTGACTATCGCGCAAATGACTGCCAGTATAAAGTCAGTTAGTATGGTACAGCTTATGCAGTGGAATAATGGGATGAAATTTCACATTATTACCTGTGCTGAAGTGTCAGGCCCAATAAAGTCTAACCTAGAAATCACTTTTCTCTAAGGTAAGTTAGTACCTCTCTTCTCTGATTGGATGTCTTTGAGGAGCCGATCCTGCTGGGCAATACGGTCCAGGAGGCTCTGCAGTTCTGAGTCTCTGCTTTGCTTCAGTGCTTTCATCTGCTCCTTGTGCTGCTGTAGTGTCCTCCTCAACCTCCTCTCACTGGATTCCCGCTCACGCACCTCCTCGCACAGCCACTGAAGCTTTGTCTGAACACACACAGACAGACATATTTAATATACACATCAATAAAACTGTATTACAAGAAGAGTAACAACTTCTGAAATAGGAGTGTCTCTGCAACTTCCTTATTATACACATCACGACTCATGATATAATAACTAACCAACTGACAAATGCCAGTTAGGATTACCTGCTAGATAAATTCAAATGTATGAAATACGATCAAAAACTATTATAATATAAAAAAAATAATAATATTTTTAAGTATTGCCATTAAACTGGAATTTTTCAAATGAATAAAAACTTTGTTGTAATGCATTAAATATTTATTACAACTCAACAAAATTCAATAAAAAAATTACTTCACTATAGCTTTCATATTTTCAATCAATGATGGATGGCCAAGTCTGGCTTTCCCAGCGCTACCCAATGGGTGATGGAATTTTCCTATAAATTGTCATCATTGGCAGATTGAAAGAATTAATTGTGCAGTGTTATCCACCATATTTTTCCACACAGATGTAAGATGTTTTCTGTGAATGTGTGCAACTTCTGATTTATTAGCCGATAAAGGGAAATAATGAGAAGAATATTTCAAAGTGCAGTAAACTGTAAAACGGTTTGCGCTACAGTGTGTTTATAATTAAGACAATGCATTAAAATGATATGGTCCGAAATAGCAGTTTGCAATATTAAGCAGCATAACGAGCTGTTTTGCAAAGCTAAAAATAACTGGAAGCCAATGACACCGTAAGCCAGAGACATTAAAACTACAAATGGCCACAGCTCCACTTATCTGAAAAATAAGGTGGATAAGGGATAAAAACTAATGCTGAAACAAAATTAAAGCAACATTTTGTTTACTCATTTTGCAAACATACAAAGAATGTATAGTTCTATAATTCTATTCACAGAACTATAACAACCCTGATGCACACAAATATTAATTGTTCAAATTGAATCATAAATATGTATATTTAATCATAAATTAAAATGTATCTCTAAAAATTTATGATTGAACTCAAGAGTAAGATAATATTCGCACAGCCGTACTCTGAAAAACCACAAACTGCCCACTAACATGACTTTAAAGACCCCATGAATATCAAGTTTTGTGGCTTTATTCGGTGTGCATTAGTTTTGAAGTAATCTGTATGCTATTAGTGTACTCTTAATGTCTGCAGCATTAACTTCTAGCAGCTGTCCAAAACAGTTACAAAACTTAGCATTTTTCTGTATGGACTCTACATTTTTGTCCAATCAAATGCTCTCTAGAATTAGACTGTCTCTCCATTTACTGACTAGCAATAGCAAGTAGCAAATAATGCTTCACATCTATGATGTACACAAAAGGATAAAGGAGGGCCTTTATTGACCTATCATGTTTCAATAAAACACATCAAGACCGCAAGGAAAACTCTGCCTGTCAAGCCATTTCACGGGGTCTTTAAATGTATTGTTGTAATATATCAGACACACCACTACAAAAAGAAAGCAACAACCATCTACACACACACATTTAAATGTGTAAAAATACACATTTTGGAAATAAAACCTGATAAAACATGAAATTATTCCATGAGAGCAGTAAGATGTTTCCGTCAGTCTATCTGAGACAGTAAAGAACAGCTGTGTTAAGATGCATGACATCAGCTAGAGAAATGATCATTGAAAGCTGGGCTCAACAATATACCTTAACCTCAGCAAGCCAGCGATGAGAATCCTTTTGCAGTCCTGGGCTCTGGGTAATGGCCTATGACATAAAGTACATACATGGCAAGTTAACATGGCTTTGCTATACAAATTATGCATGCAAGTCATACAACTAGAAACTCCTATATAAGGCACAATGTTAAATTGCACATCTCTGAGGAGGTTGAGAAGGAAAAATATTCTGAATTGTTCAGGGTGAGCTTTCTCTGATGCGTTCTGAGACGGTGACAGTCTACTGGAGGATTGTAAACCTCCCAGATCTTGGGCTCCGAGGAAAAACCCCACCGAAAAGATGAATCACTTACAAAACAAAAATGAGCGGATTTACAAATTTCATATTTAGAGCGATGATGAACGCCTCTCCAGAGCGTGCGATCACAGGAGGGGGCTCTGTCACCTTTAAAAAAAAAAGCAAGTGTGTGGAGGTGGATTGTGTTCCCCCGACAGCTCTCGCCTGTCATGATCAACGACGCTTGAACAACGCCATACCGCTTTAAACTGCTGGCACAAACACATGATGGGGAAGGAGGCCATTTTGTCACTTTTTTTTTCTTGAATCAAAGGAGGGTGCCAGCAGAGGATAAAAAAGGTGTGAAGGATGCAGAAGAATGCTAAAGACTGGGATATAACACGGATGTTGACAGCTCGAGCTGAGAGCAAAGAAAGTGTACTTAAAGCTTTGAGAAACAAGTACAAACAACCTGCAAGAAGCAGAGAGTGACTTCACAACTCAGAGAGGAGACTTCTGTTCATGTCGGGGGAAGACTTAGCACTATCAGAGATTATCTATTTATTGGGGGTCTAACGAATGTCAAACTGAACTGAAAAACCTTGATACACCAACCTATGATATGTACCGCGATACTCTCATGGTGTAACGAACGAGCCATTAGGAATCGGTGTGAAGAAGAAAGTAGGCATAGGCGGTATCCAAATTTTCATACCGTCAAACCTCCTCCCTATTTTACCGCGGTATACGGTATTACCGCGTGACTAATTAAAAATTACGAGATAAGGCTCAGACGGCATCACACATGATGAAACGTTCAACCAGAGAGTGTCGGTTCCAATAATGCATCTAAAAGCTGTCAATCAACTATTAGAAAACAGGAGATACACATTGTCTCACACCAGAGAATGTGAGCAGAGTGGTGATATTTCCTCTAGAGAGGGCAGCGCATTTCTGAAGATCACGCGCCACGAGCTCTCGACGCGAGCCGCGTGGAGCCGAGATAAAATTATTTATTAATAAACTAGTGTTTTCTATGTCAGTTGCTGCAAAGATAAAGATTGCATTGACGATGCAAACTGGCATCTTCATGGTATGAAAACACGAATAAAGAGTAGCCTAATGCACACTTCATATGAATAAGCCTATAGCAGAGAGCAGCCCATTTCTTTTAGCTTGTAATTGTTTTGTTTAAAAGTATAGACATTTAAAGCTTACATATATATATACACTTCTCAGATCATTAAGACATGTATCTTATATGCCGAGTTTCAGTTCATGTATGAATCGCGCTCCAGTCACGCGTCAGCGCGTGTCCTGATTACTATCTTTGCTTTTTATTTATTAGCCTAATCCAGGCAATTCGTTGATGAAAAAAATAAAATAAATGAAGATGCAATTTATTCAAAACGAAATTCGTTTTAAAGAAAGGCTTTGTACAAAACAAAACGTAATAAGTGGTCATAATCATGTCTGACTGACCCAACGTGTTTTCTATGTCAATTGCTGCAAAGATAAAGATTGCATGCAAACTGGCATCTTCGCGGTAGTGAACGCGAATAAAGAGTAATGCACACTACATATGAATTAGCCTAAACATAAGCAGAGAGCAGCCAATTTCTTTTAGATTGTTAAAGAAGACATTTCAAGCTTACTATATATACACTTCTCAGATCTTGTTTCTTATATGCGAGGTTCAGTTCATGTATGAGTCGCGCTCCAGTCACGCGCCGGCGCGTGTCCTGATCACTATATTTGCTTATTATTAATTAATCCAGGCAATTCGTTGATGAAAAAAAAATTAAAATGAAGATGCAATTTATTCAAAACGAAATTCGTTTTAAAGAAAGGATTTCTACAAAACAAAACGTAATAAGTGGTCATAATCATGTCTGACTGACCCATTCCAAATGTTTTCCGATATTGCGCATTTTATGATCTTCTTAGTCATCTCATGAAGTTCCCTTTTCATAAAATCAACATACATAGAAAAACATCATATTATTAAAAAAATATGAAAAAAAGGAATACGTTTTTTTTTTTTCAAACCTAGCTTATATTTAAGCGTCACACGGTCCGTCCCACTGTACTACATGCATGTGGCGTGCATGTGGTGGTGGGGCACAATTTTCAAATAATAATCGAATAATACCAGGCAATCTTTAAATATTATTTTTGCTTGAAATGCCCATCCCTGCCAAACTGCAGAAGTCGTGTTCTTCTTCGAGACCAAGTCACTCGGTGCGCAACTTGCAATCTTTGCCCTCTCTCCCCCACTCTCTCGTCACCACACTGTCACGTCATGAGAACCAGATATAAGCATTTTAGCCATTAAATAAATTGTATTTAAAACATTGCACTTATATAGGAGACAAGGATTCCTTGTCTCCTATTTAAGTGCATTGTTTTTTTTTTCTGACGGTATGACGATATTGAAAATGATACCGTTGCTATTTTTAGATCCCGCGGTATACGATATTACCGTAATACCGCCCAAGCCTAGAAGAAAGATAAACACATGACAATGTTTATTTTTTAGTATACCACCACCAATACAAAAATAATCATGTAAAACCCTGTAAACCCTGAGATTATTACTTGTGACATTACAAAACAATATATATGGGAACATGTGTGTATAGAACTAAATTCTCTCTTAAATATTTTCTACATTCACTAAACATGTTTCATTAAGTTTCATGTACATTTGTATTAATCATGGACATTTGTTCATTTAAAAAGGCTTTTTATGCTATTGTATGCAAAATTTTTAAAATGTAAGAAACGAATTTAGACGTGCAAAGGGTGCTGGTGTGATGAGAAGTTCGCACTCGGCTTTGTTTTTATGAGAGAACATTTAATTTTAAAACCTTTCTGCAGGCCATTAGACTATTATTTAATGTACATATGAGTGGGGTCAAAAACATTTTAGTTTGAATTTTATTTCATACTGTCCATTGTGCTAAATAAATATTTGCATAATTTGTAATTGATTTATTCTTTGAAAATTTTATATTAATTTATGCAATTGCAATGCCTTGATTTTAGTAACGTTTGTACACAGTCATAGCCATAAATGCAATGATACTGATAATTGGCATAATTTCTTTCGGTGTTTCGGTTTTCGGCCTTGGTTTCCTCTTTTTCGGTTTTCGGTTTCGGCCAAGAATTTTCATTTCGGTGCATCCCTAGTTGAAAGATACAGTGATTACTGAAACGTATCATATCCAGTGTAATCTTTCAATTAGTGTTTCAACGGCAGAAAGACGTCAATAAAGCAGCTTGTAAACAATGTCATGTAGCATTACATTTACATTTACCATTTTTAATGATTAGCAAATCATTCTTCAGTGTCCACAGCTTGTTAATCGCCAGAGAAATTAACTCTTTTGCCAAATATATGCACTTTATTAGCCAATATATTCATTACATTTTACTTAAACAGTTTGTGATGTCATGATAATTTAATGTACGTTTAAAATATCTGTCATGAAAATGACAGCAATTGTGTAAATGATTAGGTTATATTTCAACAACAGTGAAGTCTATAATAAGATTTAGTAGTTAAAGAAAAAACTGCCTTCTGTACTTCCTATGTAATTTACAGGTAAAAAAAAAAAATATATATATATATATATCCTTAAGAAACGTTTAATTATAATTTAATTAATATAAAGACAGAGCCACAATTTAATAAACCATTGTTTAATATATATATATATATATATATATATATATATATATATATATATATATAGCCAAGGCTGAGTGTTGCTGTGAGATCCACCATGGTTCTGCTGTGATAATAGTTTGGAACTATTTTCGCTGCTGAAATATAATAAAAACAGTCAATATTACATCTAAAATGTAAGTGTCTTAATATTAACTACTTGTTTATTGAACTGTTGTATGAAATCAGTCACATTTTCAATCGTGATGGTATTCAGGAAGACCACACTCTTGGTCGCGTGATGTTGCTTAACTGTATAATAACATTATAAATATAAAAACACCACATTTTGAGTGTTTTTTGTGTGTGTGTGTGTGTGTGTGTGTGATTGTTGAGCTCATTTGCTTCGATTTTGTGTGTTATGCTCATTTGTTTCAATTTCTCCGCAAACCGCACAAGCCTCAACAGCACAACCTTGTTTGTCAGTAAATTATATATCATATGTTATTAGCAACAACTGATCACCACTTACACTAAAACAAGGTTTGATTTGTAGCCCTTGATTTGTAGTCTTTAAGTAAAATAACGTATTGCTCGGGAGAAGCGCCTCTCGGGAGAAGGGACTCTCATTAAGTTGAAGGGGCCACGTGACGTGAGCATGGGAGTCATCAATGGCAGAGAACTACGGCGCACCTAATATCGTAAGTCGGAAGTCACATTCCAACATGCAGTTTGTAGCATGTCAAGATAAATCAGTAAGTAATAATTAGTCAGTTATAATATATTATAACATATTAGTCAGTTATAATATATTATACAGTTATAATAATTAATCAGTCTGACATATGGCGATTTTATGCCGGTCAAATGCATTCGGGTGGGAATGATTAACGTTATGCAACATCAGTATTTTTCTATAAAATATATATATAGAAAATAAATATTTGTGTTATTGAAAATAAAAAAGTGGTTAGAAAAATAAAATCAGAATCGGCTAAAATCGGTATCGGCAGGTCAAACTCAAAATCGGCCTAGAAAATTGTAATCGGTGCATCTCTAAATTCAAGAAGTGAGGTCTTTATAAAAAGCAGTACATACTCTGACAGTACACAAATTTGGATGCAGCTTTTACTATAGTGTTGCAAGTGTTTTCTGTAGTGTGGAAAAAGCAGAATAGTATGTGTGTTTGTACTTCAAGCTTGGCGGCTGAGTCTTTTGACAAGAACTGGCAGGCTGAGTCAATTTGAGCCCCTACGGCATGGAGGATGGACTCCTGCTCTGTCTGGAGGCCCGTGACCCTCTCACGTAGCTCCGCCATGGAGCGTTGTGCAGTCTGCCACCTCTCCTCCTCCTGCTCTGCTAAATTCACCTACACAGGAGACATTAAGAAAACATCCGGGACACTGAGATATAGGTGCAGGCACAACACTGCCCAGCTATTGACAAAAAGGCAATAATGTGTCAGATCATAATGTGTTCAGTGTTATCAAAGCTTGTATTGCTGTAAGCTAATAATTATATATAGTTACCATTGTGTAAAATACTAATTTAAAAAATAAACTACATATTAGTATTGCATCTAGGAATACAAAAGCACAAATACAAAAATAATCTGTATCATATTGGTTGTGATCAGGGAAATAAACCGTGGCAAGTAACACTTATTAACTCTTTGGCCAATTTGGCAGGTTATGATTAATAAAATACATCCTCTAGCCAGGAGCCTCCAACATTAGCAAAACTAAGCATAAAGAGGGTTGAGCCATATCTTGAAATTTTTTGAATACATTGTTTTCTTTGAGTGTAATGGATGTCAACGGAGGAGAGGCTTCCTGAGTTTTGCAAGGAAACGGCTGATCCCTAAATTAATTAACAGCCAGTGATCCTTAATGTGTTTACTATCATTTTGTTTTTTATTTATTTTAAATTTTCCATTATTTAAAAAAACATTATTTAAATGTGAATTATATAAATCAAAATGAATCTTTGTGGTTACAATATATGATTTTTGACAAAATTGTGCAGGTTATCTGACTTCTATGCTTTACAATGTAACATTCAAATTCCCGAAATGACAAAGCATATACAATTTCAGATTGGAAGTCTTGAAAAAGAGTCTTTGTCTTTATTATACTTTTAGCAATAAAAACAACTGTTTTGATCAAAAAATCCATGATACCTTCACATCCAGCTCTTTTCTGAGGCCGTGGTATTTGCGGAGGAGCTGAGCGTGACTCTCCTCGCTGGAGCTCAGCTGCTCTGTTAGTTTATCACATTCAGCCTTCATTTTGTCCAGCTTCAGCTGCAGAACTCTCCTTAGTTCACTATCCGCCACTGCCTCCGACTACACAAACAACAAAACAATATTATCTTTGTTTATATTGTCATATTATATTGTTTTCTTCCCACAAGATGTAGTCCACCAGCTTGGAGGAAATTGTGATGGATTTCCAGGAGCAAGAAATCAATGTAGATTTGTAAGATCCCCCAAATCCCTTTGTGCGTATCTTGCTCTCTGGTGAAAACCTGCAAATATTATTATTCTGTAGAGAGCTTGATCAAGACAACAGGTTTAAATATTCAAGACTACAGCAAGCTTCTGTTCAAGCTACGGTTATTCTTTTCATAAAGATAATGTAAAAAGATATATCATTATTACACAACTCTTGACAAACAAAAACAAAAAAACATAAAAGTAGTTCATAGAAACTGTATAGGGCCCTATTTTAACGATGCACACTTAAAATTGCATTTTGAACAACGCACAATGCGCCACTGACTTTAGACTAGGTTTTTTCTGATCAGTGGCGGAATTGTTTTCTGGAACTGCAAAATACCTCTAGGGAATGTTTGCGCCGAAACGCACCTCCATTTTGCGCCGACCTGCGCAGGGATCGCAAGCTCATTTCCTAGTTTACCGACGTGCGTCTGTGGAGGGAAAAGCCCACTTTGCTCGGGTGCAAAATAGGAATGATACACGCGTCAGTGTACTCAAGTTATTTGCGCCGAGTGCAAGATAGGGCCCTATATATTTCATAAAAACAACATTTCTTTGTTTCAATTTTTGACAATTAATTTCCATGATTTATTTTTTTATCCACTGCAATCAACATGTTTGTTGTTTTCTGTGGGCTGTCAGCAACCAGCTTTCGAATGCATGAGAGATTTATGCTGCTTGTGTGCTTTATTTAAAAATAATTATCTTATATTATCTTAATTCTCTATTTTAAAAATCTCTTTTTGTGACCAAATTTTAAATCTTATTTTCAAAAAAAAGTGTGTGGATGTCTTGGACAAGTGAACAACCATTAATTTCAACCATTAACAAAAGAAGAAAACAAAATATCTATTCAGGTTTGAAAGGAACAAAAGTGTGAGTAAATTATGGGGGGGGAAATATTTGCGGCAAACTGGCGTTTTTTACAGGTCGCTGAAAGTTGAAAAATGTTCACTGTCATTTTTACCCAGCCGTCCATTCACAGTGGACGAGGGGCGGGACTAAACCACATGAACCGCATGGATGAAAAATACTTTTCAGTATGAAACAAATTATCTGCGAAATCAGTTACAAGTAAACTGTGCTGCGGATATTCTGTATCATAGCAACAAATCGTCCCAATGGAAAAAAAAACGCTGCGCTGCCAAAACGCTCTCAATCACCCAAAGCACGGTGTCTTCAGCAGAGCGTCTAGCGTTTTCAGCTGGCTAAAAACGCTTTGGTGGACACATGGCCTACAGCTGCTTTGAAACAATCTATATTGTTAAAATTGCTATATAAATGAAGGTGACTTGACTTGAAGCTGCTTTGAAACAATCTGTATCGTAAAAAGCGCTATGTAAATAAAGATTATTTCATGATTAATATTCAAACCTTAAGGTCTCTGACAAGAGCCTCCAGTTCATCTCTCTCTCGCTGGTATAATCTCAGCATGTCTTGTACGTCTCTGTCCTGTTTTGCTTTGTATTCTTGCTGTGTTGTTCGGAGGTGGCTTAGCTCCTTCTGATGCACTTGCCTCTCCAGTTCGAGCTGTCGTCCAAAAGAGGAGGTCTCTTCCTGAGCCGCAGCGAGTTGTTTCTCTAGATCCTTCTTGGAGCTCTCAACCTCGGCCAGTCTGGCAGTGAGGTCAGCTCTCGCAGCGCTCAGGTTCTTAACTGAGCCCTGGAGATCCAGCAGAGATCTCTGCTCCTCCTCTCTCCTCTGCTCCTGGAGCTCCGCACGCTCCTTCAGCCGGATGTTCTCTTCTCTCATACGCACCTGTAAGGAGATTTGCTTCTGGGCCTCCTCTTCGTGGCCTCTCAAGCTTTCCTGAGCCTCTCGGAGCTCGAGATCTAAAGTGACAAGCCGTGAGCGAGCTTCAGAAAGATCCACTTCACAGCGGCGTACGTCCTCTTCACGCTGAGCGAGACGTCCGAGGGCATCGGCGAGCTGTCGGCGGGCACCTTCTGCCTGCTGGCTAAGAACACCTTCTCTCTCTTTGCTCTGAGGAGTTTAGTTTATGGGTTAATAATACATGTAAAGCTTTTGACTTTAGCAGGGTTTCCACCGAAATCACCCGGAACAATTTTTCCCAGGAACTTTTCTTCCCCCAGATCTGTTGCTGTCTGTATTTCCACTTTCTAAAGTACTGTGAAGACCAGGCATATTAGTCCGGTGACGTAGGACTGCGCGCTACTTTACAATTCCTGCTGGATTTCATCCTCTGAATTTAAGCTTAATAAAGCCTGAACCTTGTTGTCGGTCCATTGTCAAACAACAAACTCACACAACTCTTACTGCACGCGCCGCAACAGATAGTGATTGAAATGAAATGCCACGTGGAGTCAACTAATCAAAATGCGGCATGAACTCAACCAATCAGTATGTTCAGTGCCCCTGAAAGTTCCTGTACTTTGATTGAGCAGGGACTTTCGGAGGGGGAAATATTTACCCACAACTTAATTTTTAGACTCTGGTTCCTATACTACAGAGTACCAGCCCAAAGTCCCTAGTTCCTGGGGAAAGTTCCTCCGGTGGAAACGCGCCTTTTTTTTTTTCATTCACATTCGCATACAATGGAAAGTGTGGCAGAAAGCTATTTTTTTGTGTATCCCTTTAAAGTCCCCGTGAACCGGAAGTTGCAAACGATTTTTCTCCCGTGCTGTGACGTATTTCCAAGTGAAACGGAATATTGAACAGAGGGCAGGGTTTTACTCTAGCGCTCCTCCTCTCCATCTCTCGCTCATAGCAAACTAACGGTTTGAGGGGAGTGGTTAAGCGTTTCCCCACCCAAACTGTGAAACCTACGTCATCAACCGTTCCAGACCGGAAGTAACTTTTCAGATTTTGATTAAAGATTACCAAGGTAAAACATTTTTTTAATATATATTTACTTGCACGGATTAATTGTTCACCACAAGACTAGTAATATGCGCTAACAAAGTAAATAGGTTCAATTTTGATTTCACGGGGACTTTAAAGGGTTGTGAAGTCTCACCCATTTATCTTTATCAGTGTTGTTTCTGCTCTCCTCCTTTAGTTCCTGAAGCTCTCGCTCCCGTCTCTTGCATTTGTTCTTCCACTGTCGGACTGCTTCCTGAGCTTTAGAGCGCAGCTCCTCTCTCCTTTTCTCGCTCTCCATCAGCTGGGCCTCCAGACGGGCACAATTTGACCCGTTGTCCTCTGAACGAGACTGGATCTCCTTCAGTTGGGCCAACATCTTCAACTGCTGATGCTCACGCCGCTGCAGATCTGCAGAAAGAGCCTAAAGAAAGAAAGAAAGAAAGAAAGAAAGAAAGAAAGAAAGAAAGAAAGAAAGAAAGAAAGAAAGAAAGAAAGAAAGAAAGAAAGAAAGAAAGAAAGAAAGAAAGAAAGAAAGAAAGAAAGAAAGAAAGAAAGAAAGAAAGAAAGAAAGAAAGCTCTCATGAAGTACCAGAAATCAAATATTTCAAATATTTAGTTTGATTCAAGTAGAAGAACATCTTTTTCATCCTATGTGGTGTCATTGTTTTTATTTAGCATGTAGGCAGAGGGCAGGAACTCTCTCAATGCACTTAAACGTACAGTATGCAATTTTTGGCCACCAGGGGTCACTAATTTAAAATAATAACAAAAGACGCACTTTGATGACGTCGGGAAAGAGCATGGGCTCACGGGAGTTGTTGTCGCTGTCAATGACAACCAGCTCAGCTCATGACATGACATCATCGTTTCACAAAATATACGGATATACGGCATCTCTCTGTAGATTTAGCTTGTCAAGAAGCTTTAAATGCAACCCCAATGTTTACCTGTGTCATGCTTCTCCTGTCCCAAACCCTTCTCGGGACATATTTTTCACCCGTACGTTTGAGCTTTACTGAGCTGGCTGTAGCAGCAGAACGTGAAGGCAAAGCGTAATCATGGTCCATAACTATAATACAGACGAATATAAATATTTATATTACGCCCCTTCAATGAATGACCTATTTAGAACATTTTTCATATATAGGGCGCACCGGATTATAAGGCATATAAGATACTGCAGTCAAACGTTTGACTGGGTTTGCGTCATGCATCCACTATGTGCTAAGGCTAAAGGGAATGTAGTGAATGCGCAGCGCCGGAGGTGAGGCGTTTATTTAGTAAGCATGAGCACGCTGGAGCGGGCACGTAACTTACATTTGCAGCCTGACTCATATGAGTATTCAATGTGCCCGGCTCGCTGACAGCAACAGCTGACTGATTTGAATGAGACGACCTGGTTACTGTGAACGGGGAGCGCTTTATTAACATTCTGTGACGCGCAAGCAGCACCGGGGAGTGTCTGTTCAGAGTGAGCGCTCGTGAGCGGGCACGTGATTTACACACATAAAAATACGTACAACTTTTTTTCTTCGTCATTTTCTTTGCTTTATTGGCGGTAGTCCAGTGTTCCCCTTTGTGTTTGGCGGGTTTCGCCGGGTTCCGCAGGAAGTTAGAGAAAATAGAGGAGTCAAAGGTTATATGACGCCATAGACGGGCGACGAAACGGAAATAAAGAAATGTCCCGTGTCTTCGAATTAAACTATAAATTTCTCCGTATTTTAAAGTAGGTGGAAACTGTCGGGATAATGTAAGTACACATCTAATAGAAATATATAACATAGATACAGTTATTTTTGCTATTTTTAAAGCAGAAAAAATACATATTGTGGGTTTAATGAACAATGAAAGTTTACCAGAGATAAAATCTGACCTGTTGAGCACTCGTTAAAAAACAACATCAACTTTAAAGGTGCAAAACGCAAGTCTCTGAGTTTTTTCAGAACTACGCCCCCTCTGGCTGTTCATAACCAAAGGAGCATCAGCCGCACACATCTACTGTTACAGTCATAATAAGATAATAAAGTTATAAATCTCCAAGTCATTTAAAATATATGAAAGGAAAGGCATTTGAGTAAATTACACACTTATGTGTGTGTGAGGGGGAAATAGGGGTGGTGGAAAACTTCGGTTTTTGTTTCCATCTATCTCCACGTTGTTTTATGTGCTTACTGTTTCCACTTAAGATGGTATCATTATGGAAACACGTTCATGAACAATATAATATATTACTTTGTATAGGATCCGTTTGATCCCGAAGAGCAGACCGGAGATCTCTCCATTTGTTGAAAGCCTTCCCGATGTTGACTCTCGTCTTATTACGAAGCCTGGCACAAGACATAAGTTTTATTTTCTTTGTCTTACGTGGAGTTTGCATTGGGGTTTGGAATGAACTACAAGCCGGTCTCTTTATATCCATCTTCTAATTTTTTTCGAAAGTTGACTAAAGTTGTGTCGTTCGAGTTGTCTTCTCTGATACGGAGAATGGCGGCGAACACACAAACCTGCCAGACATAGCCAGGCGAGCGTGAACGCGCATGACGTCACGCCCAGTCTCAAATTCGAGCCCGAATCTCTCTTATTTATTTTACTGTACAGGATTACAGAGGCAATCGCAGTGATCAGAGAAGGGCTCATTCAGCCCATCAGGCAATTGTTTAAGCATGTATGGGTTAGAAAAATGGCTATTTTTAAACATGAAATGTTGCATAATGCACCTTTAACTCTAACTTTAAGTCCCCCAAGGGGAAATTACTTTCATGGCAAGACATACAGACAGAAAACCATAAAAATAGAAAATGATCCAAAAAATACAAAACAATACTAATTACCCCCCACCCAACCCTGAAAAACTGCTGACCCTACTAACCACCTCCATTACCTAAATTTAGAAGGGAAATGGCAATGGGAATGAACACACAAACCTCAACCTGGACAGCGAGCTGAGTTTTCTCTCTCTCTTTGCGTTCTGCACATTTTTTCAGTTCCTCCATCTCACTAGAAACACCGATTCTACCCAGCTGCATCCGCAGTTCTTCAACCTCTCTCTCCAGGTCTGTGCATCCTGGTGAAAACACACACAGTGATTAAAGAGTAAACAATCCACAAAATACTCAAACCTCACTCAAATCAACATATTTTACCACTGTCAAGACTTGTCACCCCTCTGTCCTGCAGTCTCCTTGCGCTTCTCTGCTGAGACGAGAGTAAAGACAACTCCCTCTGCAAATCTACACGCTCCTTCTCCATCCTCAGAAGCTGAGAACTCATGACATCCATCTGCAGGCCAACACCACAGACACACACACATTAAAAAATAAAAACTGCCCACCATATAATCCCCCCTCCATGTCCAAACCCAGCTGAATGTCTTCCATTGGAAAATACTGATTCTGCAGGGTTCTGTTCAAATCTCTCCTATGCTTTTCAGAAGCTTTATTATTAACCTTATGATATGAAATAAATGGGAATTAAAATACATAGATATAAAAATACTAAATTGGCCAACCATATAAAGCAGGGGTTAGCAACCTTTTTGTCATGAAGAGCCATTTTCAAGTTTCCTGGCCAATACAAATTTCCCATAAAATTGGTCAAAATCCAACAAGTTTGTTCATTTTGTAGGTTTAAATTAGACTTTGAATAACAACTGTCCAATGTCACTCCACTGAACCCCATTAAGCATGAAAGGAGATCACATCAATCCCTTCTTGGTGCTTAATATGACTCTACCACTGTATATACTTAGTTGAATATCTCAGTAATGTAAAGCATTAACTTGGTTTTTAACTTTGTGCAACAACTACAGAAGAACAAACTGTCGAACAAGCTGTCTTTGATCTGCGTCGTGCTTTCAGCAGCTTGTGCTTGTGCAGAGGTAGTGCTAATGATTTGCCAGAGCAGTGCTCTTAAATTGACTTCAATTCACAGTTCAGTTCTCACACTTTATAAGTATTTATAGCTCCTAAATTAATAAAACAAGCTGTGTTACTTTGTGGAATGATTACCTCAAAATGTAGAACCGTATATGCAGCTGTGAGGGTCTTAATTTAAATGAAATAAATACAGATCTCTCCCCATGTGTGCCATAGGTTGCTGACTTCTGATATTAAGGATGCAAAAAAAACAGGTTTTATAAATATAGACCATACAAAAGGTGCACTACAAATCTTTTAAAAGCTCTATCATAGCTTTGTGTGAGAAACAGATGTTATTCATTGGTAACCTTCCCCTTCCTTGATTGCAAGGGAAAATGTCTGCTATTTAAAATGCCATCTTTTTGTGTTTTTTGGAAGATAGAAAGTTTAGGTTTAGAACAACATAAGGGGCAAGAATAAAATGAAGGAGAGTTTACATTTTTAGAAAAAACATATTTGCATCAGCCACGCTGTGGCAAAACAATTCAGTGGAAGAAGGGAAGCTCACCTGCTGGAGAAGGGTGTCTCGTCCTCCTTCTGATTGATCCAGCTGCTTTCTGAGTCTCTCCAATTCCTGCTGCATCTGTAGAGGAATTTGCAGTAACCACATTTTTGCTTCATGATTCTGGGCATAAATTCTGCTCTAATTTCTAGCTTATTCCAATTGAGAAACACCCACAATAAGGAGCTGTCTGAACACACTAAACTCAAATTTGATTTTGGCAGCTAATAAAAATAGAAATAGGAGTAAGCACAAATGAACAATATACTGACTTCTTTCATAGCGCAAGTTCACCATGTAAATGTGTTTGATGTATACATCGACGATGAGCCAAAACATTATGACTAGGGCTGGGCATTGACACAAATTTCACAAATCGATTCAGAAGCTTGTGATTCAACTCAATTTAGTTACAATTAATATCGATTCATTGTAGCCTGTCAGGTACAGAACATGGCAACTTTCCTCAAGGAAAAAAAACAACTTTTTTTGTGCAAATTTCTGCTCGTATGCTAAATATATTATATAAGATATAATACACACATTTTGTTCACATACTATGCAATAATACATGAGATCACAAAGAATATGTTTTCTGTAAAGAGTGGACAATATTTGAATGTTAATACAATAGTTGCTATAATCCTGTTATCAGTATGCTCACAGGTGTTTTTCTTCACAGATTTGAGAATCACAGTGACCTGATACTGGCTAGAATTAGACATATTCAGCATGAACAAAATTCTCCAGTGCATACCAACACCAAACACCTTTGGAAATGCCAGGTCTGTGATGTTTACTTTTATATATTGTCCTCCTTTTTTCTTGTAGTTCCTTCTCAGTCACATCCCTAAGTGAAAGCCTCATTGGGGTCTTAATCAGGGTATTAATCTCCTCACAAGCATATGGCCTTTGTAAACCAAAAGAGTCTTACAATAATTTAAATCAATTTATTGTTTTATGTAAATATTCCAGAAGATCAATTGAAAAAGATTCTACACTGACATGGTCTGAGGCAGTGTAAAATCCTTCATTGCACTGGACCAAAGTTACTGTACGTTTACACCACCGCCGACTTGAGCATCAAAGAAGCTCTGGCCGCCCTGTCAAGGACGCTTGTCAAAAAGTATGGGGAAGCTTGTTGACGCTTTGGACACTTTGACGTTGCAGGGAGAATAGAAGTGTCACAACATGAAATGTAATAAACGCCAGTTATTAGCTTCTCTTCCATTTTCTCGGAACTACTGTTTTGGTAGGAACGAAAGTTTACATTCATGTTTCTCCAGAATCAGCCAGCGTGAAGGACGTCTATATTCCGATTGGTTGATTGTTTTGCCGCTGCTTGCCGCTGAACTGCGTCACAGCTCATTACCATCCCAGATAGCAAACTGACATTGAATCAACGTGGAAACGACATCTCTCGTGACATTGAAACAACGTTGATTTGCTCATCGAATTAACGTTGAACCAACGTCAGACGCGGCATTCTTCAAAGCTAAATGAAATCGAAAATTGGTTTGCTTTCATAACGTTAAAACAACGCGTTGATTTCAAGTTGATTTTGCGTTAGTTTTGAAAGAATGACGCATCTGACGTTGGTTCAACGTTAATTCGATGAGCAAAACTATGTCAGATCAACGTTGTTTCAATGTCATATTTCCACGTTGATTCAATGTCAGTTTGCTATCTGGGATAAAGTTGAGCTTTTTACAACTTTCTGAGTGACGCTCAAAATGCCCAAAAAAGTCGACGCCAATGGATTTGACGCTCCTTGCAGCTAAAAAAAAGCCAGCTTCCATTGAAAACAAATGACTTCCGGCCGCTTTGGAAGTTCAAGTCGGCGGCGGTGTGAGCGTACAGTTAGACTTTCTAAAATATATCCCCATGTGGATCCCATGTGTGACCGCTGTTATCAGGCCCATGCAACTACTGCACATATGTTTTGGTCTTGGCCATCTTTACACTATTATTGGTCTCACATCTTTAAAACATTATCTGAAGTTCTTGGAATTCGTGTTGAACCTTTGGCTGTCACAGCTTTATTTGGTGCTCTCTCTATTTCACTTGACATGCCCAAATATAAGAAAGATTTTGTAGCTTTTGTCACACTCTTGGCAAGATGTCAAATTTTAATACATTGGAAATCAGCTTCACCCCCTACTCATTCTTCATGCTGTTTGAACATAATTTGCATCATATGACAGATCCATAATTGTATATAATTTAGAATTAACCTTGTTCTGTCTCTGTTTGTTGCATAGTCTTTTTTATTTACAAGAGAGATGGAATTCTTATACTTACTAATGACTATGATATCTGTAATTGTGTGATGTATTTAGTTTATGTGGAAAAAATCTAATTAAAGCGAATGGGGGGGGGGTAATAAAAAAAAACTGTCAGCTTATTTCAGTGACTTAACATTTTTTTTTGGTTTTCCAATGAACACACATAAACGTTATTTTTTTCAAATTACAAACATTTACATACATGTTGCTCACATATTATTGTAGCCAAGTTTGTGCTGAACACAGTGTAACGAGACTTTAGCCATTAATATGTTTAGAAGCAACTGAAAAAAGCACAAAGGCATGTCAAAACTTCTCCAGGGACCCAAAAACTCAGACCCCAGTTGATTTTCATTTGAACTTCGGCATCTGTGTTAACACACGTCTTCCCAGTAGTGCAACGAAATGAGCGATAGGCACCTGACCAGAGACTGTGGGTTTAAGAGTCCCGTGTTGTACAACTTTATAAAACTGTGTGAAATGTTGTCATTTCAATTCCTTTATAGCTTACCGGGTAAGCGTTGAACTTATCTTTCTTCCTCTTGAATTATAAATAAGTGTGTTTTTGTCAAGCGGCAACATTCTAATCTGAAAGACGAAGCCTACCCGGAAGTGCGAAAGACTGCAATACATCTCAAATCCGCTAGAGGCCAGTCCCAAAAGGGAGCAAATATCCATAGACGTCATGTTAAAATGTCCGTTTTCACAGCATAAATCCATACGTTTACAACAAAAGTCCATGGGACCAAACTGTAATCTTCAATATGTCCAGCGTGCCTGACAACTGTGAGGGGGGTGAATTTTTTTCTAACTCGTTAGTTTAGATCATATTTAGATATAAAATGTATGACAAATAAGAGCGGTTAACTTTGATTGACAGCTGATAACGGGCTGCGCCGAGTGAATTTGACGTCTCGGCCATGATCTGACACAACACATCATACCACCTCTCTAACCTTTCTGAAACTTTTGTATTTTGTATTTCCCAAGATTTTCCAGTATTGCGCTGCCCACACCCCCCATAAACAGCCTCAAACCCGTTCTTTAGAGAGTCTATGGGTGACGTCACAGACGCTTTGTCCATATTTTTTACAGTCTATGGTTTTTGTTCATTCTTTCTGTGTTCATTCTCATCTATATTTCTCTACCGGTTTTTCATGTACGTTCATTTATGCTGTTTTTGCTCTGCATTGCGCTAGAGTCACATCAGGCCCTGTATAACTGCTTGCAATTCTTGTTATTATTATGATTTCTAAATAATTTCTATGGTTATTTTCACTCCAAATACTTGAGTACTGAAAAGCTTTCCTAATCTGCTTTAACACATGCATTACATCAACAGTGCTACATGCATTAAGTTAATTAAAACAAATGAAAATATTGTGCTACAAACCTTTGATTGTTTAGTTTCGAACGTACAGAACCAGATGTAATCACAGCTTTCATAAGCTTATCCGAAGAAGAGCATACGAGGCACTGAGACTAATAATATATTTATGGCATTTATGCACACTGAGTCAATATCAAAGACAAACACACCTTGCTTCTCTCGTTCTCTGATCTCTGCAGTCTGTTTCTGAAGGCCTCATCAGCCTCTGGTGTTTGGGCGTCATGTCTTCTCAAAGCCTTTGAGGACAGAGTGGAGCCGACAAGAAGAATGAAAAAAAAAGATTAGCAGCCTTTCTTTTAACATCCCCTCTTCCCCTCAACGGACGGACAGACGGCCGGAGAGTATATGCAATGACATCGGCTGCAGGTTTGTATTTGTGTATTTGCAATCTCAGCACCGCTAGAGGATTAACTTTAGTATGAATTTAGGTATTTGTCACTTAAACACACCTACTTGTAAATTGCTTTAGTTAGAAAGGATCTACAAATAATATGATTGTAATGTGTATATGAATGTAAAAGTTATACAGAAATAAAAGGAAAGTAGGGATTCCTTTATCATTGGGCATCTTTTCAACTATATGCAAGCGTATAGTATGATAAAACTTTCAATAGAATAGAAACAGTCAACTTTTACTGAAAACAAAATATGTTAGTGGTGCAACACCCGTCACCACAATGCTACTGGGTGTTGTCAAAAGACATCACATCACCCAGAGCTCTACGGTATTCTATTCTCTAGATATAGCTCACTTTTCCTCTTCCAGTGCAAGTATAAATATTTTTTTTTCATTCGTTTTATTGTCCACCAAGCAAAACTCACAAGTCTGATTGCTTAGAAAAATAATGAAGAAAAAAACCTCTCAACTTCATTCATGTCAAAAGCACAAAGAGTATAAGCACCGCTATGAATGCTAAACTGCTTATACTGTATGTGGACTGGCAGCAATGCCATGGGGTTTGGTCCAAAGGCTTAACCATAAGAAGTTGAAAAAATTATGCTTGCCTAAGAAAGCACCACTAATTAGTATTCAGTAGACCACTGAGTAATTGCATTGGCATATACAGAAGATGTAAATGTACTAGACTGAGTTTGAAAAACAAAAGTTGGAACAAAAAAATATTGGAGTAAATTGAAGTCACTTTTGCAGATTTGAGAGTAATCCCCTATGAGTTGCGACAGAAACTCACATACTTTATGTGCCACATGCCATTTAATGTGAAAAAACAGCATGTGTGAATCCAGCATGCACATGGAGCACAAGATAATTTTGCTATATGTATTCATGTACGAAACAGTTGGAAATCGATTTATCATCGGAAATGACATACACAAACATCAAAATAACTGAGATGCATAATTACAAATGCGAAACATAATTACTATGATTAATTGTATCATAGAAAGACCCCAACTTCCATATCATATTAAAGGAGAACTCCGGTGCAAAATGAACCTTTGGTCTAATAAAACATCGGTACCTAGTCAACTGTTCTCTGAGATTTGTTTTCATGGTAATCGAATGTTTATCGCATGGACAGCCGTTTTTACAATACTGTATGACAATCGCGGGATATGTATATGGCAAAGATAATCGTTAGTGTGTGTTTGAGAGGGAGAGAGGGAAGAGGAGAGGAGAAGAGTGTGTTGTGAGATAGAGAGAGAGAGAGAGAGTCTGTGTGTGAGAGAGAGCGAGAGAAGAGAGAGAGAGTGTGTGTATGTGTGTGTGTGTGTGTGTGTGAGAGAGAGAGAGAGAATCGACAAGTGTGTTAGTGTGAGATAGAGGTTAGTGTGAGGTTTGTGTGTGTGAGAGAGAGAGAGAGGAAAGAGAAGAGAAGAGGAGAAGAGTGTGTTAGTGTGGGATAGAGAGAGAGAGAGAGAGTGTGTGTGTGTTTGCAACCTTACATTATAGGGTCAAAATATCCCCACGGCAATGGCAATATTCTAAATCCTTGTCCTTGTGGGGATTTCTTTTTTTTTTTTTTTTATTGTAAAAATGCAGGTGAAATGAAAGTTTTCTGTGCTTCATGAAACACATGGTACATATATATGGTTACTACTGAGCATGTATTTGCATTGTTCTAAAATTGAAATAAAACTGAAATTCATTTTCTATGGGCATATCACCAGCTGAAACAGGTAGCCTAGACTAGTGCATCCCAAAATTTTCAACTAACATTTTATTATAACATTATAGTCATTATGGCCTTTAGAAAACGTTTTTTTTTTATTATTATTTTTTTGTGAGGAGGTGATCGGCCCCTCTGGCGCAGTCTAAGCTTTTGTCCTTAAAGGGATAGTTCACTTTGAAATTAATTTTAGATATGTTTTAGCTTACCTCAAGGGCATCCAAGACGTAGGTATCTTTGTTTCCACAGCATTTTCAATTTTGATATTTTTAGGTCAAACCGTTCTTGTCTGTCAGTCATATAATGCAGGTCTATGGTCACCACCTCAAAGAGCATGCACAGAGAAGTCCAAATTAAACATGATTTAATGACTCGTAAATGTAAGTACACATTGATGGCCTAAGACACGAAACAAGCGGTTTGTGTGAGAAAACGAACAGTATTTATATAGTTTTACCTCTTGTAACCACAGCCACGTCCAAGTGATCTGAAGGAAACTTCCGAAAACAATGAGTGACGTACACACGCAAGCGATCACTTCCGGTGCATGCGCAGACCAAAGCGGCCGTGCCTTCAGATCAGTTGGACGTGGCTGTGGTTACACGAGGTAAAACGATAATACTGTTGGTTTTCTCACACAAACCACTCGTTCCGTGTCTTAGGCCATTCAGTGTGTACTTACATTTACGAGTCATTAAATCATGTTTAATTTGGACTTCTCTGTGCATGCTCTTTGAGGTGGTGACCATAGACCTCCATTATATGACGGACAGACAACACCAGTTGATCTAAAAATATCAAAATTGAAAAACCTGTGGAAACAAAGACACCTACATCTTGGATGCCCTTGAGGTAAGCTAAAACACACCAAAAAATAATTTCAAAGTGAACTATCCCTTTGAAGGAATGGTTAGTCATTTGCGTAAAACACGCCCCAAACCATCTCCATTTAAGGGCTTTCCCTACAGCTCTTCGTCACTCTCGTCAAACCAGCCGCTGTTTGCAGACACGCTCTTGCCCAATCCTGAAGCAATGCCAAAGTGTGCCATTCTCAACAGTTCAAACACAAAAAACACATTTTACAGACATCTCATTAGCCAGCTGTACACACGCGTATATCTGTAATATTCAGAGAAATCCCGCAACTGAAGCTATAATGCAGCTTTTCTTACTCTTTAACTGTATATGATGGAATGTTTTGAACATTTAATTAAATTGTATTATTTCATAATTTAATTATATAATTTTATATATGGATAATCCAATTAATGCAACATTAATGTAATACTGTAATAATCATGTTAGGATGTCTAAATGTATAACTTCTTAACACGATTATAAGGCCATACAGAGTAAGTGTTTTTATGTGTATGTGCGGTTTCAGTCGTTCCTATATTTTTCCGTAAATTTAGAATTAATTTTATTATGAAATTTTTGGTGAATCGTGATCCGTTCTTAAAATCGTTTTTACATTTCACCCACAATTAGTGAATGAGACCCATTGTCTTTATGTTAGGTAGCATTTTGAGGAAGCATTTCATAGTCTAGAATTCACTTTGTGGAATACTACGGTGACATCATTCACCACTCTAACAGCATTCTAGATCATATGGGTGTGCAAAAGAGCCGAACATTGTTTTTCTCACCATCTCTTTGGTGACTAAGCGTTTGTTTATCTGCCTTAATTTGCTTGTCTTGTTTGTTTCTCATAATTTCACAACAAATGCATTATTTCTCTAGGCCTAAGGCACAGCGCCTTTTCATTAGCAAACTGCAGTGGAAATGCAAATGAGGCTCCGTTCATCAGTGACTTCTTAGATAAATAGGACAATTGTTGATAGAAGCTAAACACAAGCATATACTGCCCCCTGCTGGTAGGAGCACAGCATGAACCTGCTCTGAAGTTCCCACTAGATCACTGGTTTTAACGTTGATTTCCCCCTATTATCATACCTCATAATGTCAAGCGGATATTTAGGCAATTTGAAGAAGTTCCTTTAGAGGTTCAAGAGGAAGTATCTGATGCAAGTGTGCAAAAGGAACTTTTCATTCAATCACAAATTTGCTGGAGCCGTAAAGCATATATAACACATTTGCATACGATATGAACATATTAAGCAAAAAAAGCAGATAAATGACTAAATGACAGCAAGTCTAAGTCTTGGAGGACAAGTTGTATCTTAAAGAAGCCATATCACATTTTTTTTTTTTTTGTCGTAATTTAATTTTTCATTATTTTGACATTGTCTCCTGAAAGAACAAACAGCACTTTAATCCACTATAACATGGGCTACACAATTGCTGTCAAGATCAATACAGTTTGTAACTGTCCATTCCTTTAATAACATTGTGATGGGATCACAAAACAACTCCTCAGATCAGACCTCAATGATCAGACCTCAATGAACTAAAACCTTATTAAAAATAAATTTCAGCTGCTTGTTTGTTTCAAATGATGATATTCTTCACTTAGACACAGAGCCAGGAATAGTGCAAAGTTCATTCACACACATTCTTGTTAGTGGTTAACAAAATAATAGCATCTATTCTGCTTTTTCCTAATTACCTCACTACTGAACATGTTTCTGATCACTTAATAGAAATCAGTGATGAATGAATTTTGGTTTCCCCACATCAGAAATGTGTGTAAGGTTTAATTAAAAGATCCTTTGGACTGGGGAGGGAGTTTTGAGTTCTGAAAGTTACAGTATGTTTTCATAGTACATAGTACCTCATTTAGCTCTGAATATCCAGGAAAATGTAAAGTGTAATGATATGGCCCCTTTAAAATGTTAGCAACTAAATAACAATTTACATTAGTGTAGTGCTCTACCTCCTGCAGTTCTCCAGACATGCTTTTTGGTTTCTCTCTGTGATATCTTTCAGAAAGCACCTGCTGCCCCGAGCGCATCTCATCCTCGATCTCCTGTAGACGTCTCTCCACCCGTAACGAGACCTAAGACACATCATCCGTCTCAAACCTGACTAAACGTGCTGTTTTCAGCCCTGTTAAGCTAGAGCAAGTTGCTGTTATTCAGTATATCATGTTCTGTACAGCTGGTCTCCCCAACTCAAAAGACACAACAAGTGCATTCTGACAAGAAGCAAGACAAGTGGTCGTAGGCAGCAAAAAATAAAAAAGTTAACAAAACATGCTGTGTTACAAAAGCAACACTTACAGTTTCTTCTCTCGGCGGTGCCTGTATGTAGCCTGCAAGAGTCTCCAATGTCTTCTTGGTTTCTATGTCAGTCCTATTGAGGGGCAGAAAGCAGAAAAACACAACATTATCATCAACAAACACGATGCTTTGATTTGAACAGGTAGAAAAATTAAAGGGACCTGTTTCTTCTGCTGATATGTCTATCAATGTCATCACCCATCCGAAGCTGATCACTCCGCAGGTCTCTTAGGGACTGATGCATTGAGTGGACCTGAGTAACAGAGAATTAGATTTTAATTTGAGTGGTGCTTGCTTGTGCTAGGGTGTTGTGTGTGCTTGCTATAGTGTTGTTTGGAGTTTCTAGGTGTTTTGAGTGGTTGGTTAAAAAAAAAAAGCCTATGAGGTTGCTGAGGTGTATGGGTTGTTTGCACGGGCATTGTTAGGTGGTTGCCAGGAATTTGTTGGTGGCTGCTTGCTTGGCTTACAAGTCAAAAGAGCCCATCCCAGAGTCTCTATTATATTTTTGTATATTCCTTTAAATAAAGCTTGAGTCTTCATACATGCCTTATTATTATTTTTTGTCTGTTCGTTGTCTTCCTTGTGAAAACTGTATGTTTTATCTCTTTAAAAAAGTCAGTTTCATTTTTTTTTTTTGGTAGGAAAGTTATAACCAACCTAACTGAAATAAAATAACCATGAATTATTGTCAATTTCAAATCTTTGATTATTATAAACCTTTAAAACCTTGATTTAACAACCTACATTACACGGCTACCTCCCAAATATATACATATATATACAGTACTGTTCAGAAGTCTTAGGCACACTAGTATTTTCACCTCAAAGAAATGGTTTTAAGCCAGTTATTTATATATTTTGTTGTAGTGTCTCAGTAGGAAATATCAGTTTACATTTCCAGACATTTATTGTGCCATTAATTGTAATAATCCAGTGAAATTTTTGAATGCACAAGGATTCTGACAACAGCCAATGCTCCACACAGAGGTCAGATCTCACCATCATCGAGTGCATCTTAAGTTATTTGAAGAAACAGAAAAAACAGAGACTAAGACCAGAAGAACTGTGGCAACGTCTCGAAGGTAGTGCCTGCCTGCCTGCAAAGCAACAGTACTGTGAAAAAGCACTTGTGTAAAAATGCTGCAAATGAGAATGTTTTCCAAAAATAATGTCATAATCATAAATAGATTTTATTTACCAATTCACTCGTATTAGTTAACTATTATTAACTGTTATTAACTTTTAACAGTTAACTAAATCAAATCAATAGGTGTTTAGTACCCTTTACATTTAAAACAGCTTTTATCCAGGTATTGCACATAGTTTTTAGTTTTGCAGGTTTTTTCAAGCGTCTTTGGAAAAGTTGCCGCAGTTCTTCTGGTCTTAGTCTCTGTTTTTTCTGTTTCTTCATATAATTTCAGATGCACTCGATGATGGTGAGATCCGACCTCCGTGTGGAGCATTGGCTGTTGTCAGAATCCTTGTGCATTCAAAAAATTCAATGGAATTATTACAATTAATGGCACAATTAATGTCTGGAAATGTAAACTGATATTTCCTACTGAGACACTACAACAAAATAAATATAAACAATATAAACAACTGGCTTAAAACCATTTCTTTGAGGCGAAAATACTAGTGTGCCTTAGCCTGACTTCGTCATACTCGTATTCAAGAGAGAATATGAGTCTGAAACTCCTCCGTTGGGCTTTGATTATGAGGCGTGTCGTAACCAAACCAGGAGGAAAAAAAACTCTGCACTCAATTGGATAGTCGGTAGACCTACAACCAATCAGAGCAACGCAATAAGTCAACTCCTTTGAATAGCGCAGTTTTCAAATACAGAACGTAGCCTAACTTTATTTATTTTAGAAGTTAAATAACGAGTGTTGCTTCTTTTACTTACTTCTCCATGAGTGCCACCAAAGGAGAAACCACAACGACCACAGGCAACGATACATTACGTCCCATCTTCTTAACGACCGTTAGAGCCAGCTGATAAGTTACAATTTTACCGAATCATGTAGGAAGGACGCCAAATATATCTTTCCGATCGACAAATGCCTTGATAGCAGTTCTCTGTTTGTCTATTAAAATGAATGCGCTGTCGATTTATTTTACAAAAGACGTGATAGCGGAATCGATCAGTCATCTTTGACAAGCGCTCTTTGATAACGTGATGATTACGTCCCTGCAGATCATCTGTCCATCATCGTATAAAGCCCGCCCTGACAATTTGATTGGCCCGATCATTTTTTGACTGATCATAATTACTCCTCAATGATCGAGTCCAGACCGAACTTCCCGACCAAAAAATGTTGTGGCTGTTCGGGCTGGCATCCAGGCTTAGTGTGCCTAAGACTTCTGCACAGTACTGTATCTATATACTATATATGGTGAGAAGACCAAGGCAACCGTATGGTGTTCTAGCCCTTTTTAATTGGGCAGAATATTAAAAAAAAAAACATAACTTTAATAATTAATACACTAATGTTTTTAAGAATGTGATCGATCTACTAAATGTTCTAATGACAATGGCACAGATGCAGCTAGATCATTCCCATAATCAGAAAGGGTGTAATGGTGTAACCGTTTCGATACGATTAGGTATGGAAAAAAGGACTGTCAAATACAAATAAAGAAAATAAGAAACAAATAATCACACCACAGGCAACAGCACAAATAAATACAATGGAGCAAAGATACAAATAAATAAATAAATGAAATCAGGTTATTTAGGTATCTAACAGTAGTTTTCAGGTATGGAAATTGAATAAAGCAATCAAATGTAAAATAACATTGCACATAATCTTCACTGAATAAAATTAAATCAAGATTAATCATTATTAAAGTTACAAAAGCTATTGTCTTTTGTTTAACATCTAAAATACAGACAGCAGGAATATTAGGCTGCTGTCACTTTAAGACATTATACACGAATCCAAAATACTGATACTGATCCGCGTGCATTCTGTTTACGTTCACTTAAGACATAACCTACTATGTTTGCTAGGATACTCTTCAAGATGGGCGTGTTGACAATTTTCTGTGAATTTGTCTGTTCAAGTGCAAGACTTGAAAGATAACTCAATAATTGATAACTCAATTATTACTTAATATAGATGAAAGACAACTCAATAACTGTACACACGCTTTCCACTTGCATGCTTCGGAAGAGTGCACACACAAATCTTATTACAGTGCGCAAGCGAGTTCTCTTCTGCGTCTTCTTTGAATGTTTAAATTGGCAAGGCAGTTATCATTTTCACGTCCTGTGTCACGCGGTTTAAATTGAAAATGCATTTGCACCCATGGGCTGGTCTGAAAACAAGATGTGTTCAGGCGCATTGTTGGCGTGTAATAGACTGCGCAATTTTAGACAATTTATTTTTTGCTACTTAAAGAGCACGTTAGTAATGTGTGCCTATCGGCGGGTCCACAACGTTCAAACACTTTGTCCCGTAGATGGTCTGCTCACGCGCTTTAACCTTGTGCACAAGCAGATCCGTTTCCTCTCTGGAGAAGCATTTAGTTTTTCCGCTTTCAAATTCCACCATGTAAATAGCGAATGCGCCATGGCACGAGCGCAACTAGCTTTTAAAAGGAGTGGGAGATGAGACTCTGATTGGTCCTGTTATATAAGTATGTTACACCCAAAACACATTCAATGCTCATTAAGAGAATAGGGACAAGCCGACTATTTTTCCCGTCGTTAAAAGTGGATTCGGACACACCCTAAGCGCACTTGCGCTGTGAGCTTAGATCATTAAAATAGGGCCCTATGTCTATTTTATGCATTGTCATTTTCAACAAATGCCATGCCAAACCATGGGTGGAGAACGGTACGGTTAAGTGTTTTACAGAGAACCGTTACACCCCTAATAATCAGTGCAAATTTCAAGATCAGTGCAAATTAGCAAACAAGAGCATATGATAATCATGAGTGTGTGATCTACTAACAACACGGGCACAAAGTGGCTTAAGACATGTTTTTTTTGTTTTTTTGTTTTTTTTTGGGGGGGGGCATTAAATAACCACCGGCTGTACATTATCCCGCTTATTACACAGCTACTTGCCACAGAAGTAAATAATTAGACAAAAAATATTGATCTGAGTTGAAATATTTTATTAGGCGTTTAAACGCAAAGCTCCCACAGAGAGAGCAGTTGCTAGCGCAACAAGTTCAAACTAAAAAGACATTTAAAAAATACGGTATACAGTCATTCATATCACTTATTACACAGCATTTCGCCACAAAATAATTATGGGGGTAAGATAATGATTTCAGATTAAACTGTTTTAAAATTGTACCTGTTTGTATCTCATAATTCAATGTACAAAACAATAGTCACAAAATAGCAGCAGCTGCAAGTTGAGTTTCTTTGAGTTTATTTTTTCTGCTGAACACAGGAAAATATTTTGAAATATGTTGTGAAGCAATCATTTTCTATTCCATTTGTTTTGGTATATTAACACTTACTGGATTTGTACTGATCAGACAAAAGCCCTATTCGAACGGTAATTGTTTCTCATGTGGACGTCCATAAAAATAAATGAGCATGGCACCTCAGTGATAACTCATGCATATGGATGGCGATTTATTCATGGTGGAGGAGCCAGTTTTGTTTAATTAGATAAGAAAAGAAAATATAATATCCTAATTATTATTTGATTATTTAAATCTCCTGTTTAAAAATAGGAAGATAGATGAACTATACTTAATATGGTTTTCTGTGTTTTATCTCAAAATAATGGATGTCATTTTCAAAATGTGGAAACTAGCAGAAATAAGTTAATACAGCCTCTCATTGACATGAGGTAAACATAAAGCTGCTTGGTTTATTTTTTAGTAATTGATGTCATAATAATGGCCCATTCCAAATGTTTACGTTCTTCTGTTTCTTATTTTTGAAATAATGTTCTTGTAAATACTTTCCAGTATTTCAGTAATAAAAGTGTAGGCTAGATCTTTAAAATGCATCCAAATTAGTTGTGAAGTGCAACAGTTATCATATGGTGCTTGGCAATAGTCAAAAAGTATTTAAACAGTGTATTTTTAATTGATCACTTCTTGTAAACTCAGTGAAGTGGATTCAGACAGCAATTTAATTACCACACGGCCTTGGTGTTTGTCAAAAAACAGTAGGTAATTTGGCCGGGGATTTTCACGCGGGTTGTGAGAGAAAAACACTGACATTCTGGATTCAGAAGGCAATAAAATCCCTAGCCCCAGTAAATGTTGAAAATACCTTCGACCCCATGAGAAACAATTATCGTACAAATAGGGCTAAATTTATGAAATATATGGACTCCTTTGGTTATTTGTTGTCCTTTTGGTGTCTCCAAGCTTGCTTTTTTGGAAAGACACTTAAATTGAACTTTTAAAAAAGCTTTCAGAAAATGCACTTCAATCTGATTGTTTACTTTGTTGGATATAGCAAATGATAATAAAATGAAAGATAAGTGTGCAATTAAAATATCCTATTATATATGTATATCCCTGTGTCTTTACATGTTATTGTAAAGAAGAAGATTATCAACACAGATTTGTACAATGCAAAACACTGCTTTTGGGTATCACACAATACTTGCTGTTAACAGTTTTTGGGTATTAGACAAAAAGCTGCTGCTGACTCTTCTGGCATAATATTTCTGAAATTTCTAACGTGGAGACATAATCTAACAAATTGGAGCATTAGATTTAAGTATTTAAGTGCAAAAAGATACTGACTATACAGTTATAAAATGTATTATTAATAAATTTTGAGTTGAATAAAAATAACTATAACATGACAATTAAGTCTCAGATGTACAGTCATACCTGCTCTTCAGCTTGAGTGGAGTCTCGGAAACGCACTGCGACAGATCTAGACCGTCTTCTGTTACCTGTGCCCGCACTCCCATAATCTCTCAAAGGGGACGTAGGGAGGTAGCGCCTCCTGTCTACAGGGCAAGAGACACATATTTGGAACTACTGTACTGTTTACTGCAAAGTGTGTAGTGCAAACTACAGAGGGAATGCATTGACGTCACTTTCCCGCCGGAACAACCCCCCTCAGCTTGACTGAGTGGCAAAAGATCTGCTGCGTGATTGGATTTAATAGGGGAAACTGCGAAAATGCAACTAAAATTATCAATTTAAACTAAATGTTGGACTCAATATAGTGGTCCTTACAACTTACTAAAGATCCAGTGATCCATATATATTGACATGCAGCCAGGAATCGTGTTGCCTGACATTTAAGTTTGCCTGATTTCGACACCGGGGAAATAAAAGCAATATAGACCTAAACATTAAGCAAATTTGCCTGTGAACGCTTTATGTAAATACATTATAGGTAGTTCTAAATCCGGGTGATCACTTATCTCAGTGTTATATATAGCCTATATATATCATCATATCATCCAGCCCTAAATCTTTATAGTTTTTTTGTTTGTTTGTTTGTTTTTTTTGTCAGTGTTTATTAAAAAAACATCCAATAATGTAGAATAAGCAATGATAAATATTGAATTGATGAGTTGTCAATATACACTACCGGTCAAAAGTTTTAGATCGGCAAGATTTTTCATGTTTTTAAAATAAGTCTCTTCTGCTCACCAAGGCTGCAATTATTTCATAAAAAATACAAAAACAGTAATATTGTGAAATATTATTACAATTTAAAACAGCGGTTTTCTACATGAATATATAGTGAAGTGTAATTTATTCCAGTGATCAAAGCTGAATACAGCATCATTACTCCAGTCTTCAGTGTCACATGATCCTACAGAAATTATTATAATATGATGCTCAAGAAACATTTATGATTATTATCCATGTTGAAAACAGTTTTTTACATTTTTATTTCAGGATTCTTTGATGAATAGAAAGTTCAAAAGAACAGAATTGATCTAACATTAATCATTACCATTCAAAAGTTTGGGGTCAGTAAGAATTATTTTTTTATTTTGGGGGGAAAGAAATTAGAAAATACTTTTATTCATCAAGGATGAGTTAAATTGATTAAAAGTTACAGTAAAGACATTTATTAATTAATTTGTTTTTTTTAGCATAAAATCAGCATATCAGAATGATTTTACAATATTACTGTTTGTCTTTTTTTTTTTTTTTTTTCATCAAATAAAGCAGCATTGGTGAGCAGAAGAGACTTCGTTTAAAAACATAAAATATCTTACTGATCTAAAACTTTTGACCGGTAGTGTATATATAACAATACAAAATATATGGGTATGGTTTTACACCTAAATTCAGCATATTGAGACAAAATGATACCTGCAAATCCACCTTTCGCTGACTGGATTCCAGTTGTTTCTGTGAATTGCAGCGATCCTTTTGCTCCTCTTTCTATAGCAGTCTGTAAAAATATACCTCAGATTTTTTTGTCAAATCTAGTTGTCCAGTCAATCGCAAAGCTCTTTCCCACTTTATATGTGATGTGTTTGTTTTTCACGGCATTCACGCTGAAAACATACTCAGCAGCTCAGTCTTTTTGCCACTCACTGTGAGTAACTGCAGACACTCCAGCTGACAGGGACGTCACATGCATACCCTCTATATTTTTAAGTAGTATGTGCAATACTAAGATGTTTCACAGGAGTATGCAACAATTACACTACCGTTGTGTTACACTACCAAATGTTTTTGAAAAAAGATTCTTATGTTCACCAAGCATTTATTTGATTTTAAAAAATATATATATATATTTGTTTGTTTTTTATTCTGTGAAAGCAAAGCTCAAATATCAGCAGCCATAACTCCAGTCTTCAGTGTAACATGATCCTTTAGAAATAATTTATATATTCTGATATAGCACTCAAGAAAGCAAGATAGCACCTTTCTTCTTCTTCTTCTTATTATTATTATTTTTAGAAGATAATGGCCCCAGGGAATCAGGGGGGGCCATCAAATACCCATTTATATATCATAACCTACTAATTTTTTATCATATTTTGTTTGGTCAGGATGTCACCATTAAAGTTTTAACATTATTATTATATCTGCATGAATCTGGGCCCCCCTATCATGGATTACAGTGGACTATTCCATAGGTATTGCATGTGCAGAAGCAAAGTTTAGAGCTACAGCAAGCGCAAGATAATTAACAGCAGAGCTTTGCTTATAAAATGTTAAAGATATATTTATCTCTGATACAAATTTCTGAAATTAATCATAACATTGATATCTCAGCTCATTCTTAGATGTACATTTATTGGATGCAGGGAGCAAGAAGATCCATGCACAATCTAAAATGCACATGCACAGTTCAGTGGAATGATAAAAGTTGCACTAACTTAATACTGTTACACTGAATGTATAAAGTAAATTGTTTGCTGAAATAACCACAACAATAACGACAAAATTATTTTTGTTTGTCAATCAGCATCGCGTGAAAGTTGTGTTTGTTACTATAGAAACTGTGCTTCAGAGGTGTATTATAAAATGTTTGGCATAAATAAATATAGTTATTAAGAATAATGCACTTATTTTCCGTCGCCAGTAAATATGCCATTAGGGCAATTTATCATCTAAGAACAGTTTGTTAAGGATTAGATGGGAGATATACTGTACAGTATAGAGTGCATGATTTTCTTATGGTTTATACATTAACATGATGAATTTTTACATTGCATTACATTAAGATTTTACAGTTCATATACAAATATGTTCCTCATTTGTATTTTCTTTATTAGAAAGTATCAGAGTAAATTTGTTAGACTTAGTTGTTTTACGTGAACTTGGGGTATAGGCCTACAAAAGTAAAAGGGTGCATAGTTGGTGTGTTAGGGCCCCGTACCTAGAATTGCTTAGGGGCTCACTAAGTCCGCCTCTGGCAAAGATACTAGTAGTTTTAGGGGGAAGTATATACTGTGATTCATGTATTAGCATTAACACACTATTGATAAATGTATAGACAAGCTTTCACTCATTTAATGAAGCAGGTCCTGGCCTGTACTGCACCTGAGGCGCTGGTGTCTTCCAGGTCACTGGTGTGCAGTGTGGAGAGTGAGGCGCTCAATCCACCCATGCTCCTCTTCAGCCGCTGACCCTGCAGATGCTGGATGGACTCCTCTAAGCTCTCCCTCAGCTAAAACACAGGACAATCTCTCAGAACAACACCCTTATCTGAAATCAGAGACAATCCCATACAACTCTGATACTCACCGTCGCCATGGCTTCAGCTTGGTCGTCTGTGTGTTCCTTATACTGTCCCAACATCTGATCCACTTTGTTCAGATTTCGGCTTGTATCCTGCACAAAAACATAAGCTTGCATGTCAAAAGAAAAGACCCCAGAGATCCCAGCATTATACAAAAATGAGCAGACAATGAATGAAGGCAGCTTACCTGTAGAGTGTTTGCTAAAGTGTCAATTTTGTCTGATATGTCTGATACATGTGTATCCCTAGGAAACCTGCTGTCAGGTCTTATTCGGCTCCCTCTGACCCGCGATCGATGCCCCCTGGGTCTGTCAAAGGTGTCAGATTCACTGGAGGAGTCCATGCTGACATGCGCCAATGCCTGAAAATAACCAAAGCACTAAACTGAAATCAGAAACCACCTTTCCAATCCTGACACCTGCATTATCTGTTTGCCTAGCTAGAAGAAGAAGCGTGTAATTACACCTGGCGAGAAAGTATTGAGATTAATTAAATGTTTAAGGCTGAGGAACACTAGTCTAGTCAATTAAATCGTCTATTTGATGAAAATAGTAACCTTGTAAACACTCGATTTGACACAGAATTGACGTAACGTTAGAACTATCGAGCTAGTTAGCTTTGTGCTTAACTTACAGCCTTTCTTTCCAAAGATGTTACAAAGCCATGTCCGTTTGCATAGTATAATAACGAATCACAAACTCCCCGAAAAGTTCGTCAAACTCCCCATACCCGTGCGTTTTGATGGTTATCTTAGGTGATCATTGTAAGGTATCAACATCCTCTGCTATGGCAACTTGAACTGGCCGCCTAACAGGAATACAACAAAAGCTATGAATCATGGGAGTTGTAGTTTTGGCCATAGTAATTTGCCACCCGCGCCGTAACGTCACCTGTTACGTTTATTATATTATATTATATTATATTATATTATATTATATTATATTATATTATATTATATTATATTATATTATATTATAATTTTATAGTAGGCTAGTATTGTGATTTTTTTAGTTTTGTAATACGTTTTTTTATGTCGTCTTCATGAAAAAGAGAAGATATATTTTGTTTTTGTTTTTTAACATAATTGACACTTTGAAACATTTACATATAGCCTGTCACTTAGGCTACTTTTGTCATTTACATACTTGTTAAAACTATTTTGTATAGGCTATATTTTGCTCACTTAAGATATATACACATAATAATGTAAATATATGTAAAATTTTACCTATATACCTATATCCTGAAAAATTATGTTCTTTGTGTTGCTTTATTTTTGATAATCCATTGCATGTTGTAACTGAAATGAAAAAAATGACTAGGCCAATTATCCTATTATTAACCTGACTATTCCTATTTATGATTTTTCGAGAAAAAAAATCCTTAAGAAAAAATCTGTGCGTCTTAAATACGAATAGTTACACGCAATTGTTAGTAAACGAGAGATGTTTCTATTACGTCGCATAGCCATATCTCTCCATATGGCTCGGTCGCATAGAACTATTCAGTTCCCATAGCAACCGCAAGGGCGCATCAGCGTCCGCCTCACTCGCAGACTACTGACACACTCAAGCAAGTTTGAGTATTAAACTGCTCGTCGGTGTTTGTTGTGTGACTACTTAATGGTCCAAACCGAGTGGAGAGGCTGCATTTTTCCAGTGGAAGAAAATAAATCTATCATTTTTTCTACCATGGCAACACGTGTGCTGGTAATGTTGATGCTGTCACCTGTGTGTGTGATCGGACATACGAATGCGTGTCCTCATGGCTGTGAGTGTTCCCAGTGGAAAGCCTTCGCTGTCTCATGCATGGCCATAGATGTTATTCCAACGCTTCCCTCAATGACAGAAATATTGTAAGTATTCATTATTTTACTATGAATTGGTCACTTTATTTATATGTTGCCTACTTGCATTAAAAAGTTTGGTAGACTGTTGGCCTACTCATTGTGTTCATGTTGTAAACACTTTTGCTGCTGTTGAGGTGGGAAACGGGTATTGGGACAGATTTCGTGGTATGAGTCAACAGCTGTAATTACATGAAGTAAGTCCAACGTAAAAACATTTGACGAAGGATATTCACATATATGCCATACATTAAATGATAGGTGTTTTATATTAAATTAATTACGATATTATTAAACAATTTTATTAATAATTTATTATTAAACAAAATGAGAAGCATACTAATGTAGGCTATATAATGTAAATGTTTTGGTTAACATTAAAATAGACAATTCAATAGCTAGACTTTTCTTCCTTTAAATGCCTTGAAGGGGATGCTGAAGTGCTTCCCACGTAAAGTTTGTTTAGGGTTGTTGGGTTTGTGGGCAAGAGAGTTCCTTGACTGTAGATCAGCCCCGGGAATGTTTATTGTTAATTGTGTGAGCCCCCTCTCTGCAAATTCACGGCCCAGGGTCTCATCAGCTCTCTCTCTAGTGTGCTCTGAGGGATCGGAAAGTGAGGTCTTAGGAAGATTGAGTTTGAGAAACCAGAAGTTAATTTAGACCTCTTACCCTCAGCTCAGTAAATCTCCACCTATTACACAGAAATTAACTGCCATTCCACCCAATCAGCCACATTTCTTTTTTACACCTCACACTAAAATACTTTCAAGTTGTCACACATCTTTGTCCATTTCAAAACTCAAATATTATCTTAAATTTGAGTTTAAAAAATTATCAAAACTTAAATATTATGTATTTTTTATTGTGATGACCAAAACATTGTTTGTTCATACTTCAAACATTGTTTGTTCAAATATTCATGCATATGCATATTCAAACAAAATATTGTGTCATTTAGGATTTTGTCTAAACATTTTGCTGGACAGAGAATCGTAGGGAACCAAAACCTAAAGGCTAGGCATTAAACAAACATCTAATTTGGCTTTTGTTGTTCAAAGAATTACAAAGAAAAAAATCATATATCTTATATATTTATACATTTACAGTTTTTCTTAGTTGCTTTGGTACATTTCACAATTGGCATTCTCCAACTTGTTTAACCTCCACATCTTCTCGTCACTTGTGCACATCTATATGAAACTGATAGGGCAGAGAGATCTTAGCATTTAGTCTCTTCATGAACAATGCACACTGAAGAAAGCCAGAAGGATTTTGAGTGATCACTCATAATCATGCACTCCACTCTTGCTATGAACCTCGACAAGAAGATACAGAATTCCTCGATGTAAATTGAACTGGTGTAAAAATGTGTTTCTGCTAGTATTAATTAAATATATGGATTAATTAAATATATGGAACAGTGGTACTGGAATCGTTGTAGTAAAAGCTTTACATGAAGCTTTTACTGAAATGAAAACATGAAATTGCTGAACATTATTTTTTCTCATTCTGCTCCTCTATGTTTTTCCGCATCCACACTGAAAAAAAATATTTTACCTATTGTACTGTGTATGTCCAAGTAATGGTAAAAACTTCAACACCTGACTATGCCTCCAACTGAGATTCGAAAGGATTCAGCTATTTCTCAATATTTCAGTGATCTGCTACTTAAAAATGCTTATCAGTTGTTTCAGTATTTGTTTTATATATATTTTTCAATACTTTTGAGCTTTTGTTCTTGAAAAATAGAGGTTTTATGCTATATTTAAAGATTGGAACCTTAGACTGTAAAAAAATATGGACGTAGTATCTGTGACGTCACCCGTAGGTTTCTGAAGAGCGTTTTTGAAGCCTAAAGTGGGTGGGGCCGGCAGTCGCCATCTTGGCAGGGCGTCACCTCTCGTCACTACCGGAAAAAATAAAATGGGCAAAGAGGTGGGTCGTGGGTGTCATGATCCTGTGTTCCTTCTCTCTTTTTTTTGTTCTCTGTCTCCATCTGCTGGTCACACGCACACACACTCTCACACACACTCACCCATTATTGCTCACTCATCTGTTTCAGCTGATCCTCATTCTTTCATCTCCTCACCTGCTCTCTATCTCTGGTCATTAGTCTTTCTATTTCTAGCTTTCTCTTTCACCCCTTCTCTGTCGGACTATTACTACTCATCACGCATGTTGCTTATTGCCTGTCTTGTCCCGTCTGGTACTGTTAATTATTTGGTGTTATTCGTCACCTGAGTTGTGCTGTGTCCAGCGCTGTGACGCGGAGAGTCGCAGAGGGTTCAACGCCTCCCCACTATCCTGCTCAGTTCTCTCTCTCTCGAGGCTTCTGGACCTGCTGTTTGAGCTTCTCTCAGTCTACCAAGAATATTTAGTGAACTTTCTATGTTTAACGGCCGCTGCGGCTTTGCCTTGTTTGCATTAAAGACTGAATATCCTGCTTTACGCCTTTTGGAGTTTCTTCACCAGTAACCGTGACAGAGTAATCCGACAAACATGAACCCTACGGAGGAGCATCCCTTCCAAGCGGCTGTGAAGATCCAGGGAGCAATGCTGGGTAAGCACGAGGAGGAACTCTCCGTTGCTCGTCGCGCTGTTGAGACACTGGCCTCCCAGGTGGATGATCTCATCAAGCAGCTCCATTATCTCCATATGGACTCGTCTCGATCTTCAGACACCCCTGAGCCCCGTGTGAACAACCACCCCCCCTGCTATGCGGGTGAGCAGACCGAGTGCATGTCTTTCTTGACACAATGTGAAGTTGTTTTCTCGCTTCAGCCTCTCACTTATGCCAAGGATCGCTCTCGCATTGCCTACATCATTTCGCTTCTCAAGGGACGGGCTCGTGAATGAAGATCAGCTGTTTGGAACTCAGATGCAGACAGCTTAAGTCGCTATGCCCTATTTAGGGAGGAGATGTTGAAGGTCTTCGACCGATCTGTGCATGGACCTGAGGCTTCTCGTCTGTTATCCACCCTTCGACAGGGAAGACGCTCAGTCGCAGATTACTCTGTGGAATTCCGCACGCTCTCTACCTCCTGTGTGTGGAATGAACTCGCGCTAGTGGCACGATTCATCGAGGGTCTTAAAGCCGAGATCAGGGATGAGGTGCTGGCTCGTGAGACGCCCTCTCATCTCGACTCGCTTATCGACCTGGTTCTCCGCGTGGAGAGACGTTTCGAGTTACGTCGACGCACTCGCAGCACGGCCGCTTCTCCTTCTTCCTCCTCCACTGTCAGCGTTACTTCTCCCTCCGTGACAGACCAGGAGCCGATGCAGCTGGGTGGGATTCGAATTTCTGCTGCAGAACGCCGCATCGTCACTCGGCTTTGTCTTTACTGCGGCTCTGGCAATCACTTTGTTACCACCTTTTTCATCTAAAAGCCAACGCTCACCAGTAGAGAGAAGGTTACTGGTGAGTGCTTACTCTCTGCACCCTCCGTTGCCTTCTCGGACTACTTTTCCGTTTCACCTCCACTGGCTCAACTCTGGTCAAGCCCTGATAGACTTGACCAGAACTCCGGTCAAGCCCTGATAGACTCTGGTTCCGAGGGGAATTTTGTGGATGAGACCTGGGCCCTCCAGCACGGGATTCCACTCGTGAATCTTCAGGAACCCACCACTGTCTTTGCCCTGGATAGACGGGTCCTTGCCAGGGTTCACCGTAGAGGTCTTCACAGTGCACCCGAGACCCGTCGGCCCGGGACCCGTACGGGTTCGGAGTGCAATCTCAAGCGCGTGCCATGTTTCTATGGCAACCAGAGCAGAGTTTCCGCCAAACCGCGCTTTACATTTTCTCCAATGTTTATAATAATATAAATGAACCGTCTTGTTTAATCTTAAAGTTTTGGTGGTCAGATTCAGACTCAAAAGAGCAGAGAGCACAGATATGATCAAGCTGAACAAGCAACAAGCAATCGTTATTCAAAAGGGCAAACAGTTAAAGTTATTATGCGAGTTAACTCGAGTCAGAATGTACATGTGCAAGGTTGCATTTGTCATCCATCACCGTGACATCAAGTGGACTTTTAAAGCTGAAATAATGAGTGGATTAAGCTTGGAATAACGAGAGAAATAACATGGATAGAACTTTGTTGTCGGTGAATTGTAATGCATCACAGTCAGTCAGATAACGTTACAAGGAAGTGAGACGACGGCTACTAAAATTAGGTAAGACAAAAAGTTTTATTTTTCGCAACTCGTGTGAAATAATATGTGACAATCGGGTCCAGACGGGTTTGTGTCTTCCTGCCGGGTTCGGGTCCAGTTTTCAAATAATAGACGGGTCCAGGTCGGGTCCGGGCAGTACATTATGTCATTTCTCGGGTCTGCACGGGTCCGGGTCCGGGTCCAACTTTTGAAATGAACGACGGGTCCGGGTCGGTTCGGTGTAGCACATTACTGGTCTCTTTCGGGTCGGGCATGAATTTTTGGACCCGTGAAGACCTCTAGTTCACCGTGCTACTGCTTCTTTGAGTCTCATCGTTTCTGGTAACCACCGTGAGACTATATTTTTTTTTGTTTTCCACTCCCCTACTACTCCTGTAGTTTTGGGCCATCCTTGGCTTGAGCATAACCCCCAGATTAACTGGTCCCTAAATTCCATTCTTTCGTGGAGTCTGTCTTGTCATGTTAAGTGTTTGACGTCTGCTGTTCTGTGTCTTCCGTGTCTGTTTTCCAGGAGGAGCCAGGTGATTTGTCAGGAGTCCTCAAGGAGTACTTCGATTTGCGTGCGGTCTTCAGTCGTGCCCGGGCCGCTTCTCTTCCTCCGCACCGTCCGTATGATTGTTGCATTGATCTTCTTCCAGGCTCCACCCCTCCCCGGGGAAGGACTGTATTCCCTCTCTATTCCTGAGCACGAGATGTTGGAGAAATATCTCTCCGAGCCATTGAACGCAGGTACTATTGTTCCCTCCTCTTCTCCTGCCGGTGTGGGGTTCTTTTTTGTGAAGAAAAAGGATGGTTCTTTACGTCCCTGCATAAATTACAGAGGCTTGAATGACATA